TTTCTTTTTCATCATCAACCTTCATATTATCTTTTTGATATTTCTTGACTTCAACGAAGGTAGGGTCATTATGAACCGACGGGCTAAAAATGAATATACGGGCGAAGCAGTCCCTATAAACATTTAGGATAAGGTTTTGGATTAAAACTGTTTTGCCACCCGTTGATGAAGCAACAACAATTGAGCGAAAAGGTAGTTTTGGTACATGTTCATATTTGGATTGATTGAATTCATAATCAGTTATGTTTATTGGTTTTATAATGGGAACTTCAGGCATAAAATAATATTAAAAATATTGAGAAAATAAATTAATATTATTTATTGTATGAAAGCATTGCTATGATATGAATGGTGTCTATCGTAGTAGAACAGGCTCTTTCATCAACTTCAGTCAATAAGTATTGAAGATAATTAGTTTTGTGTCTTGCTCGCGTATGCAATGAAAACCCCAAGTGCTGTGCCCCACCAATATTCTATTATGCATGAAAATAATAAGATTAAAAAACTATTTTATCTTATTATTTATATGACTATTATCCATTGCAGTTGTGGTAAAACTTATGATGACAAATATTTATTTAAACATCTAAATTCAATATATCATCAGAAATTTGTAGAATATAGATGGAATAAAGACGATACAATGAAAAAACTTTACAAGAAAAGAAAGACAGAAATGAAAAATAATTTATCTTATTATTTAATATGAAAAGGAGTTATACAGATTATATTAATATAATAAATGAAATGGAGAATATAGAACGGGTTGTCATAACTGATAATAGATGTAAAAAAATATGTTATTTTATTTTAGAATTAATTAAGTTTTTGATACAATATATTAAAAATATAAATATTAATATAAATGTCAAAAAAGAAAAACAAAAATAATAAGACAGGTTTAAGTGTTTCATCAACTGATGAAGAAATTGTTAAAGAAGCATCAGTCACTGAGTTTGCTTGTCCTATGTGTAAAAAGATGTTAGAACTTAGAAATGAATTAGAAATAAAAAATAAGGGTAATTGCAAATGCAGTTGTGTACCAATAGGGTTCAAAATATCTAAAAATGATAAGAAAATGAACATTGATAAAACTAAAGACGGCATCAACTTAGAAACAGATGCTCATAATATTTGCATCAAATTTGGAAATGAAGCTACAACGTCAGATAATGTTGATAACGAAACACAGGAAACTATTAAACAAATGATGAAAAATTAGTATTTAAAGACTAGAATTAACATAATTTAAACATTTAGTTTTAAAAGTAAAGTTGAATAATATAGTATATGGTTGAATTTTCAAGTTTAACACATTTACATTTTGGAGCACTTGAATTAGACAAGCAAATTGGAGACAATAATTATAATGGTGTTAGTTATTATACTTGTAAGTGTGGATGTAAAATAGTCTTAACTCGTACTCAAACTAAAAAATATAACTGTTTATTACTTAGTGTTGGTCTTAGCTATGAATATTCATATCTGGACAAAGCGTTAGTATGTGGACATACTCAAAAAGATTTAGATAACATTGTTAGAGTTATGGTAGAAGGCGAAGAATTTAAACATTTAAGAAACAGAGACCTTCGAAATTAAAATATTTAGTTTTAAAACTTTAGTTTTATAATATAGTATATATGGAAGGTGTGGATAAACTAATTTTGAAAATTGATGAAATAATGGAACAAAATAAACGCATTTATCAACTGTTAGAAAGTATGAAGAAACCAGCTTACAATAATACTAATAATTACCAACCAAAAGAAGTTGATAGAGAGAGCACTGAATACAAGAATAAACGAAATGTATATATTAAAAAACTTAATGAAAAAGTTATTAAAGAACCTAAACAATCAAGTCTGGATTTCTACCAAGTCAAGTATATTGAAGATACCAAGAAATATGTTTAATCATTAACTAACAAAATTTCGTGTCTCAGAAGTGGTTTGTTTATTCCTGCTACTCTGTAAGTTTTATTACCCATAATATCATATTCAATTTTATCAACATTGAATATCTTATTAGACCATTTAGAGTTATACTCTTTTCTGTCGGTGTAATTGCCCCTTTTCTTTTGAAACACTTTTATCTTATCGTTCTCCTGTATTCTGGGATACTTTCTTTTGTTCTTTTCTCGTAGTTTCAGATTGACCTTTACATTTATTTCATTGTCGTCCTTGTGTGCTTCGGTTGGTGTCATCCTTGTTGACGAGTGTAATGTGCTGTTATACTGTTTCAATGCTGGTGTTAAGGCATCGGTCCATTTCATATTATTAAACCTAACTCTATCGTGAATTTTGTTTTTCATCGTCCTAATAAAACGTTCGGCTACATTTGCGTGTGTCTTCGTTATTATGTGTTTGATACCTTCGCTGTTGAAGAAATCCTGAACTTGGTTTTTGGTTGCAAATGCTCCATCATCATCAGAATACACAGACATCGGATAACCCATCTTTTTAAAACTTGCTCTTAGTGCTTTTAGAACGTGCTCTCCGTCTCTTTCCTCCATCGGAATTGCATCTGCTAATTTACTGAAGATGTCAATCACGACTAAAGCATACTGAGGAACATTCTTGTCTTTAGCTAAAGGTGACATATGCATTATGTCTATTTGATATTCATATCGTGCGAAGGGAGCGGTATAGGAATTTGTGCCTCTATAATTTTTGATTTGTTTATTTGGTTGTTTCTTTAAGAAAGACTTTACATCTTCTAATGTTATCGTTGGGTCTTCTTCCTTTGCCTTCTTGTGTGTTGCTTGTGTGCTTCCGAAACCCTCGTCTAAGTCATAATAGATGTTGCTGATTATTTGGTCTTTTGTTAACCTCGCCATTATATTAAATTGTTAGAAAATATGTTTTCAATATAAACCCCCACCCCTTAACATAAAATAAAAACTACTTAAAGAAAAATGGATATAATATAGTAAGAGAAAAAATGACACTGTTTAATTATGATAATTGTCCTTGTAAAAATAAAAAATGTAAGTCTGTCGTAGCACTAGCTAATATTTTACCTGTTAATGTTTGTAACCTTATAGGTGGCTGTATTAGAGTAACATGTTTTGATTGCTGGTATTTGATGCATGAAGAAGAACATTTTATGAGAGATAAAGACATTCCTGAAGAAGGACTGGAAAAAGCAGAACTTCAATTACAAGTTATTAAACTAATGCAAAATAATGTGTTTACTCTACTAGCAGAAAACCAATATAGTATGAAAATAAGACATTACAGAAAACACATTGACCGAGTATTTGATATACAAGAAGTTAAAGAACGGTTTAAAAATAGAAAAATGTATTATCAAGCATTAAAATCATACTGTAAGAATAATGAATATGAAGTTTGTATCATTTTAAAAAAATGTATTGACATTGAAGATTTAAAAAATTTTAAACGTTGTGGATTTAGCTTTCCAAACCTAAACAGTTGTTGGTCATATAGAAATAACAATTATTATATGAGATATATTCTTAGCGAATTAATTGACATTTACATAGACCAATTAATAAAAGGATACGGGCATTATTGTTGTGAGTATAGTATGAGTTGTTATATTGGTTGTATCGCTGGTGAGATTGAATACGGGTCAAATTAACTTTTGTTTATTAATATTATCATCTTATAATATGATTAAACATTGTTTTTATAATCTAACAAGAAGGTTAAGACAATTAAATTAAACCTGAAACCCAGACTGGCCAACCAGCAACCCCTAGCCAAAACTACTTAAAGAGAAAAAGCCTTATATATTAAGAGAAAAATGAGTGAGGGTAAAATGTCAGAGAATAATTTTATATTTGAGAATTGTGCTAGCTTACCTGCTGATGTATTAAAAGGTATCATTGCATATAAATTAGGGCGACCTGAGTATTTGAAACTAAAACATAATCATATTAAGACATTAAAGAGAATACAACAACGATATAAAATAGACAGAACAGAAACAAAAAGAAAGACAAAGCGCTATACTGTTGAAGATGGCGATGATATAAAGAGACACGTAATTGAGTATTACATTTCAAGAAATATACCTTTAAGCATAAAAAGCATCAAAGATATAGTTTTTAATGAAAATGAAAACTTAGATTGTTTGTTAGATGGCATTGAAACCGATAACGGTTATGAAGCAGTGATAATAGTTGAGGTAAATATGTTTGTAAGGTTTCATCATTTCAATTATGAAGACGACCATTTTAACACTTTTAGTTTTTATTTTCGTAGTGATGATTTTGTAGATAATATAACCATAGATAATATATCCGAAGTAATGATGGAGGCACATCAAACAATATACAGATGTATTGATGATGAAAGAAGTAGAATGAATTTTGGAGGAGTACAAAACATAAGGTTTAAGCTAATTGTTGATGAACCTGTATAATTCAAAACTAAACCATAATTATATCATTTATATTCTTATATGTTATAATTATAGTGAACTTTTAATCTATAAACATTTCATTAAATGACAAACCAGAAGAACCGCCCAAAAGCCAACCCATGAAACCACAGAAAGTCCTATCCTCTTTCAATCAATAAAACTAAAAGTTGAAATCTGGAACGAGACAGGGGACCAAATCATCAATTCGTTACCACATCCATATCGTTATTTCATGCCCCCAAAATCAGCCTTGAAAAAACGAATAAGGTGGTACACGTGTTGAAATGTGAAATAAAAAACAGAACAGGCAACCATCAACCCCCCACCCCCTAGAATCAGCCTTTTCTACATTTTTTGGGGGGTGGTTGGCCCAACCACCCAACCACCCCACCACCCCACCCCCACCACCCCACCACCCACCCACCCCACCACACCCCCACCCCACACAGGGGGGGTTGGGGGGGGGGGGGGGGGGTCCACGGCCTGGAACATATATATAATACACTATTTTCAGATACACACCCCTTTGCCGCCTTTTTTTTCTCCCTTTGTTTGTTCTTCTGGCAAGTGGAAACCATCGTTCGACCCGTTTCAATGCGGGGCCGTCGGAGGCGCTGCTCTTCTCTGACCTGGTGAGTAACGGCCAGGACGCGCATCGGGCCTATGCCAGGCCGAAGGTTGGCCAATGGTCCCCCAGCAAATTGTGCCCTCTCTTTTACCCCTTTTTTCGGTTGGGTTCCCCATACTAAAATAGACCTGGAGGCCGAAGGTTGGCCAATGGACCTAGAAGATGTCCTGCGCGGTGAGGGTCATCATGACCCTTGTGGCCGAATTCCTTGCGGCCAAGAACCCCCCGAAATGCGGACGGCAGCGGATCAGGGTGGACGGGTGGATTGGCAGAGAGTGTTTTGTTTTTTGTTTTTTTTTTTCCCCGAGCGGTCCGGATCCGGATGAAATCAACCAGATCAGAAATCCCGGTTCCCATTGCCCAAGGGAGATGAGATAACATGTCGGAAGTTGAGCGGCAAATATGTGGACGAATCCTGCACCGCCTAAGAATCCCTGGGATGCTGACTCTCCTGCAAATACCAACACAACGGTTTTTCATGGGTTCAAAGTGGTGCAGGATTTCGTCGATCCGAAGTATCACGAGCTATTTTCCATCTATTGACAATATGGCCACAATCTCGCAGTTTCATAGCCCAACTAGGTCCCCCAGCAGTGCCCTTTCTCACCCTTTCTTTGTGGGAGGGTTCCCCTACTAAAACAGACTACAGAAAAAAGGGTACCCCAGTAGTTTCCTTTTACCCTTTTTTCAGGGGAGGGTTCCCCTACTAAAATAGACAGAAACAAGTTGGTACCAACTTATTCTAACCTCTCTACTGGGGGTTCATCGACGGGCATCAGGCTCGAGGCTTGATTTGGAGATTCACGGGGGGGGGCCTTTCTGTTACAGTAGTGGTTCGTCACGTTTGGAGAAAAGACAGCCCAACTAGGACGTGCTCTATTCTGTAATCCGGGACGTTTCTGGTTTTCACCGTCAGGTTCAGACAGGTGGCTCTCAGAGCCCATTCGGTTTTGGCCTGCGCTTGGATGTAGAGTTTGCTTCCAGGCTCGAGTTTGCAGCGGGCGATAGCCACACAGGCCATGTGACTCATGAAATTTCATTTTGCTTGCCACCATTCCCATCTTCCATTTGCTTAAGATTTTTTTTTGGTTTCCCCTGTTGGTTTTAAAGGGAATCGATTTCACTACTGGACGAGAAGGGGGTGTACCACCGACTACTACTGGACAGGGGTCTCATCAGCTGACGGCGCGGCTCTGAGCGAGAGGCTCCGGCGATTGAGCGGGCTTCTCCGCTAAGTCCAATGGTTCCACGTACCACTCCCTCCTCTTCCCCAGAATTTTGCTCCTTTTTTTTTTTGGGGGGGGGGAGTCCCTTTGTTTTCCACTAACCAGGCAAAAAATATAAAGATGATTTTTTACCGGGGCCTAATTCCAGCCTAGTCCTCAGATTCATGCTGTGGATGGTTGCGCAATCCATTTCACACCACTGTTCAGATTCCCTGGAATGATTGGATTTCCCCTGTAAATGCCAACCAACAAGAATGGTTTCACACATGGTGCGAAATGGTTTTCGCAACCATTCCCAGGGTCATACTGCCGGGATGTCCACACCCGCGAAGGACAGCGACACCTTGCTGGACGAGCTGGAAAGGCAGAGCTCCCGTGAGGGCGGAGCGGTTGGCCCGGTGTCTTTTTTAGTTTAATCGGTGTAGTTTCCTCAAAAGGGGCACGAGCAATGTTTTCACATGCATCTTTTATCTGCCTTTAAAGGGCGGCACAAGATGCTGGCAGTGGTTCTGGCTTTGCTCCCGCAAGGCAATGCGTTTCGCACGGGTTCAGATCTTGGCATTAAGTTGGAGTGGCTCCGTCCTCTCCAAATCCGTACGATTGAACTTTGAGGCCGCCTCGGGAAGACCACAGTAAATAGGGGCTGCAATTGTGTTCGAGAGCATGGCTTTGTATTGGAACACGGTAGCTTTGATGTAGCTTTGTTGGAGTTGACGGATGTGAACCATGTGGTGATCCAGGGCTGTATGGGCTTCTCAGGACCGGAGGATGTGTGGAGTCGGCCAGCCGATGTCGCAAGCGTTTGCTCTTCAGGTTGACATGAGTTGGTTCTTTTTGGCAACCAGTTTGTTTCGGGTTTGGGCTTTCATCGGTTGAGTCGCTTCTATTCTTGGGGGCTCCATGAATTGCAGAGGGTTTAGTCTCCCACTGCGATGGCAAGTTAAAGGTGGACCTCCTCTCAAGTCAGCCAGCGAGAACTTTCAGCGCGAAGCCGGCAGAACCGCATGGGTGAAGTTGCTGGTGCGATAAGTAGGGAATCAGGGAAATGAACCCAGGGGTCCTCTTAAAGGAAACCATTGCGCATTGTTTTTTACGGGTCATTCCCTCCTTTTTTGCTGAGCACCAGCAAGAAGAGCGCCCTGTTTGGCACGTTGAAGATCCCCTGGGGGTGCCACGTGAAGATGGCGAGAGCGTGGTCGAGCATGGCTCCAGTTCCCGCCACGTTTTTTTTTTTTTTTTAAACCACCAAGGAGTCCTCAAAAGAACATCAAACCCAGTGAGCCAAACTAGCCTGTCTTGTTTTCCTCCCCTCGCATTCGCCCACACGAAATTGGTGATTTGGGTAGAGGTTTGGAGGTGTTCCGGGATGCCTTCGCAATTTTCAAGACCACAACTTCCGGGGAAGGCGCTGTTTGCGAGACTTGTTCGTTCATACCCGTTTGACGTGAATTTGCAGGGCACTTCCGCACTTTCCGAGGCGCCCTGTTTTTGTTTTGGTTTTTGCGGGTGTACTCAACCAAACAAAGGTCAACTCCCTGAAAAGCATTCCTGTTTTCTGCCAGGGTCATGGGGCAAGCTCTGCCTTTCTTTGTTAAGTTCAACCCGTTTGTTAAATCCCGCTCGTTCAACCCCCCCCCCCCAAAAAAAAAAAAGGAAAAAGAAAGGAGAATCATAAATGAATAAATACATACGGACGGTCCTAAAGCATGCGGGATTGAACACCGACCATCAACCATTTGTGTTTTCTGGGCATTCTTCGGCTTTCGAACACCTGCGTTTCGGCAGGTTTACCTACGGTGGATAAACGAAATCCTGCACCACCTAAGAATCCCTGGATTTATGATTCCCTTGTAAATACCAAGCAAACAATGGTTCCCCGTGGTTTCAAAGTGGTGCAGGATTTCGTCCATCCACGGCATGTTGACACATACTCCTGCAGGGAACTCGGAGCATTCCCCATGGCAGGTTGGTGCAAGTCTCGGCCAACCAGGGGGCCATCTCTTTGGATGGGCGCGGCTGCCGCATTTGCCTTGTCTTTTGCGACACGGAGTTCGGCCATCGAGCCCGGTCAGTCCTTTTCGAGCGTGTCTTTCTTTCTGAGCTTTCATTTGCTTAAGAACATGTTTTATTTATTTTCCCTTGTTGGTTTTAAAGGGAATCTATCACTACTGGTTTTATTTTATTTTTTCCCGGGGGCTAAAGCAAATGGAAGTGAGGGCACTCCTTTTGGCTTGGTTTTTTCCCTGGAGTTTTGTTGGGGATGGCTCCCATTTTGGCTTCGAATCTGAGATTTCATTTCTTGGACCTTCGGAAAGAGGTGCTTTGAGAATGAAGCCAAGTCCAAGCACAACCTTCGGGCCCGGAGACATGAAATAAATCCACCCGGGGGATCCGGGGGATTTCTTCGCACGTGGATGGAGAAAGCGTTCGGCAGGTGTCCTGCGCTCGCAATGCATCTCGAAAGGGGGATTGCCTTTGCAACGAATATTTTTCCATGCGGCTGGGATTTTGTTTTTTTGGGGGGGGGTTTTGCAGTCGGAATTTGACTGACCATTGCAAGTGGAGCAATTCAGGATGTGTCCACAAACCCAAAGGTTTCCTAGTAGGCTTTCTGTTGAGGGCAAGCCACAGGGGTAAACGATTGGTCGAAGGTGTGCGTGTGTTTCCCAGTGTCCTAAAATGCAACCGATGTGTTCTTTCACTGGCACCTTTGATGACCCCAAAACTGGCGCAACTACGTCTGTAAAGCAACCCAAAAGCCGCTGCTAAACCAGCCGCGCACCTTGCACAAATCAGCCCCAAGCCAACCCAAACCCACTGAAAGTTAGCCTCAATTGAACCCACCCAAGGCAGCCCCTTGCCTTAAATGACCCCACGCAAACCCACGACTCGCCCTCACAAGATCAGGCAGTTGATCTGCCATCAAACCAAAGCCAATCCCCCAGCCCCCCCCCCCCCCCCTCAGGCCCTCCCGAGATTTCCGCATCTTTGCTGCACACGGGGGGGCTAGCAAAAAGAACACGGGCAAGTGCCATTAGAATCGACCATGGAAAGGCTCTGGGGTCTATCCAAAGAAGGCCAATTGACCAGAGAGCTACGGTCGGACAGTATTTGTTCTCCACAGCATGGACATTTTAGGAGCTTGTCTTCCCTCTGTTCGCCCGGACATAGGATTTGTCACATCCAGTTGGCTATTACGGGCCTGTGTCAGAATTCCGATAGCATGTGGCCCGTGCCGAGCTACGGGTAAAATGGATCCAGGCTTTGATGTGTGTGTGTGTGTGGGATGGCAGATTTTTACTCAAGAGAGTGTGCAATGTGCAAACATGGGCACTCACAGTTGTTGGAAGACAAAGATGATGGGTCAGGACGCTTCTCAGGACGAGTGGAGTGGACAGAAAAGGGGGAATCGACCGGATCAGATTGCTTGTCCTCACATGAATGCAGTTTGGCGCATAGTCGTCCTCTGTTTGGGACCCACCCTGAATCTACCCTCTGCCCCAGAAACCCTTCCCAAAGCTATCCAAGCCCACCCTTCGTCTCAAATTTCTGTGATTCGGGCTTCCAGATTTGAGCACCATGACCTTTTTCCCGTGTTTTATGGGTTCCCCTGGCTGACAAATAGGAGGGAATTATTGTAAAGGCATTCAGTCCTTCCAGACCTAAAAGAAGCGCCGACTTGGATTGTACGTGTTGGGGTGAAACGGATGGTTTGAGGCATCTTCCCCGAAGGTGTTCCAGTGTTCCGGCGAGGTGTTGCAGTTTTTCTGGAGAAACCACCGGACTGCCAAGAGGGCCACCGTGCCGTGGCTCGGCTTAATACTTGGGCCCAAGGAAAACTTGCGTGAAAGGCTGTTTGGAGCCTTTCATTACCCGAGTCGGCAACTTTGATAAATGAAGAGCAACTGAATCAAAGGAGTCTCTCTAATTTTGTGAACGATTTCCCACCCAAGTCCGGAAGATGACACTTATGGAAACGAGAGATCCTTCCTTCCAGAAAACTGGCAATAATCATTGGAATCACCGGATGCAGATCTTTTCTTTTGCGTCTCACCCCGGTTTCCGCCAATGACCCAGAAAGCCCAGGTTTTCCATTGGGATAAGCAAGACCCCGGAGTCTCCATGACCCTTTCAGCATGGATTCGCAAAGGCTTCGCCTTTATGACTTTTAAGGGAGCAACAATAATCCATGGAGGAGTTGGTCCAAATGTTGAGCCCCCCCCCCCAAAAAAAAAGCCTCCCAATGTGACGCTTCACTGTTCTTGGCATGTTGTTTTTTGTTCCTTCTTACTGGGGGACTGCAAAAAACAGCAACGGTTTTGGCTACCATACCAAGAGTAGAGATGTGTGGGTTGTGATCCTAGGTCCGCCCGTAATTAGTGCCCTTTTACCCTTTTTTGGGGGAAGGGTTCCCCTACTAAAACAGACAGAAAAAAGAGGGTACCAGCTTATTCTAACCTCTCAAATCTGGAGGACCTAGGATCTGAAGGGTTGGGATTCAGAGAAACGAGTCGATGCCATCGCCAGGGAGCTGGCCGGGGTGTACTTCGACATCTTCGGGAATCTGTACCCGGGAGACGACCCAGTCGAGCCGGCATGATCAGCTCAGCTCAGCAAAGGGGAGGTGTCTACAAAGGAAGCCTCGTTGTCCTTGTTGCATTTTGCTTGGAAATTAAGACTAAATTACTTTTTGCCAACTAATGGGTTTTTCATTAAACCAATAAGAGTTAAACTTTGAGCAGGAGAGCAGAAAGGACTTATCTGCACGGCTCTTTCCCCTTTGATTCTCCTTGCCTGTCCCTGCCAGGAAAGCTATCTCTTTGCAGGGGGTCTAAGGCTGGCCCAGATTTAGGGGGCAGCCAAAGGGAACACTAAAGGGAAGCCACACGCATTTTTTCAGCAGAGGAACCAGTCGAAAGTACCAGGGGCATGGCTCCTGTGATTCTCAGGTCCTTTGGTAGTTCATTGGAAAGAAGGTAAGGCAGGGATCGTATTTTTGGAGACAACCCAATTCGCTTTTGAAACCAAGGACGAGAAAAACAACGTCACCTTTCGGAGAAGAAGGGTAGAACTATACTGGGGGTGACTGTACTTTACCAAACCCAAGCCGGCCGCAACCCGGCCTTGACCCGTTTTTTCTCGTATCTTTTGCTCTTTTCGGCTCGGACGCAACCACGCAATCTAGTCGGGGGCTTTCTCGGTTGGTAAGGTATCCCAAGCCATGTCCTTGAATCCTTGGTTCAACTTTTATATTGACCTTCAGCATCTTTCCGAGAACAAAGCCACATCTCCCAGCACCACTACACTTTTGGCGCAGCAAACAGCCACCAAGCCGATTTTCTGTGATGATTCATGGGGGAGGTCTCTGGTCGTGTGCGTGCGGACCGAGATGGGGAGATCTCGTGCGCACTTCTGAACATCAAACTTGAGGGCCCCCACCATCTGTTCAGCGTCGGATCTCGGTGTTGTCTTCCTTGAATTTTGAGCGCACCACTTTTGGTTTTGGTTGCGTCTCGCGGGATGAGACTTGCCTTGCCGTTTTCCCTGGAATTTAAATCGGCTTTTTCCGCACGACTCCCAGAGCAGAAAGGAGGGTTTTGAGGGTAGCAGTAGTTTACGTGGGCCTTTAGATGGTTTGTTTTTTGGAGCCAACACGGAGTTTAGATGTCCGGGTTCATCCTTCTCAGATCCCGTGCACAGAATCGTGGGGACTAGGACCAGTCTGGATGCTTTAAAGAACGGTCCTGGGCAACATAAGACGACACAGGGGGTAGCACGAGCTCACTAAGTCTAGTATTTGCTCAGCAAGGTTTGACCGCATCTAGAATTAACAGTAATGGAAGACGCGAGGGATCGCGTTTTTTTTTGCTTGGGAGCCTTTGCTTCCCTTTTGCCTGTCACAGTCCCCCTGTTTGGGGCCCCTTTCTCCATTTGGATCAGACTTTTTCGGGCAAGGGGAAAACCAAAGGAACCCCCAGGTAAGAGAAAGCCCAAAGGGTTTTCTGGGTGAACTGAACTTTCCACCATCGGACCAATTGGGCAAGCATTCCAGGCCATTCTGCTTGGTTGCTGTTGACCCCCCTGCAAAAAGTGTTTCACTTTTTGGGGGGTTTAGTGAACCACCCCTTGATTTCAACTAAAAAGTTAAAGTCTAAAGATCCGTTGCCCAATAGTGCTCAAGTCTGGGGTCCGAATTTTGGGAGCGGCTTGCGCGGTTCGCCAGTCCTTCCTGGCCGGTCGGCGGCTGGCCGACGAGAAGCGCGCCGGGAGCCGAGCCGAGACGTGAGGGCCGTGTTTCGCTTGCGGCTTCTTCTTCGCCCGGGCCTCACAGGGTGACCCGACCTCCGAACGAAAAACGAAAATCCTATGGGTTTTTGGAGGGAAGCCAAAAGAAGAACTGCAGAAATGCGCAAAAGTAGTCATGAACTCCAGAAATGGTTGAGCCCAGAAATGGTTGGGCCCCCCTCTGCACAAAAGACGAAGTGCAGTTCCGAGGCGGCCACGGGCCCCTCCGCGACCATGAGCAAATACCGCTCGCCCGAGCCTCGGTTGCTCCGAATTGCCGAGCACTCGAAGGTGGCTCGGAACACCGACTTTTTGCAGCTTTGGCGTTTGGCGGCCCCGCTATCCACGCCAACTTCGATTTCACTGAACTTGCCACCGGAAATCTCGCGAAACGATCCATTTGTCGGACCCCCTGTGTGGGTTGCAGGTGATTTGCGGGGGAAACCACCAGAAGGAAGCACCCTTTTCCATTTGCTGGAGTCCCTTATCTTTGTAAACCCCCATATGTTTTGATTCTCCCAAAAACCTTAAGGACGCCGGGGGATATGAATTGTTTCGAGACCCTTTCTGGAAAGTGATCTCAAGGTTGGAAGCTTGTTTGTTCAACCAAGAAGCCTGGGATGTTGATTCACATCGCTTCAAGTCACCTTACCCCTTGGTGATTTGGCTGGGACTTCAGGGTTGCTTTCTCATTTGGCGCGAATTTGGGTACCCCCGACCCCCCACCAATCCAAACCACCTAATTACAGGCCACCTGAGTAGCACAAAGTGACATCTCACCAGCTGATTCCACCCTTGCGCACCTGAGCCATGTGAAACTATCCGGGTCCGGTTTCGGCTCGCGTTGTGTCAAAGGCCGATTCGAGCCTCCATTAGTTACACACAACGCCGGAGGTATTTGTTGCCATGCAGAGTTTCTATTCTGTGTCTGGGAGTTTTTGGCCTGGTTGCTCCTTAGCTGCACGAATATCAACCAATTCGTTGCTGTTGAGGCGCGAAGCGAGGCGCCCAGCACCTGCCAAGGGCTATGAAATGGTACCCCAAGTGCCAGTAAAGGGGGAACCAATCAAGGCAACATATTCCTGGGTACTTCAGAAACCCTAAACCACCAACCAAGTTCCCCCCGTGCCCATATTTTGGGGGAGTTTTGGATGGAGCAATGAAACAGGTCTGAGGTCTTGGAGGGTGGCAGTTCTTGTGAAGGAGCTCGAGCTTCTACGCGGAGGAGAAAGGCCTGTCGGGACCCAAGTTGAGCAACAAAAACGCAACCAGGAACCCAGCGGTCTACCCACGGGGTGAAAGGTGGATTGTTTTTTCGTGACCCAAATGGTATCCTTTTAATTCCCCCCCCTCTCCCAGTTTTTCTTTTCCATGGCACCTGACAGGGACAGGGACCCGGTCTCTCCGAAAGTTGATCTTCCAGCTTCCCTCCCACAAGTGCCACGTTGGAGGAAGGGTTTCCGCAAGTTCGCGGAGTTGATCTGGACACTGCTCTCACTGTGGCATTTGCTGCTTCCCTCTGCCCTCTGCTCGGTTTTTGGGGGATGGCTTGGGGAAACCAAGATGAAGCTGGGCACCCTGGAACCTGCAGAAGTCAAATTTGTTTGGTTTGGAGACACGGGGCCTGCAGTGCATCTTCCGAGTTGTTATTTTCATTTTTGTTCATTTCTATTTGTTCGAAAGATGCGCTAGAGATAGCACGACGGGTTCCGTGCCCTTTGACCTGGGGCCAGCTGGTCTACTCGCATGCAGAAAAACGCCCTTAGCGAATGGACATTTGTTGGTTTCTTTGTTGGTTTCCAGGTCCAAGATCGCCGGCAGGGGGAACGGAGTGACCGGTGCGGATTCCTGAGACTATACCCAAAATACAGGGCTGCTCATCTCGCTCTTAGCAGCGACGATGTTGCCAGCGAATCGGGTTTGGGTAGGCCCGTATCGGTTTTGCGGGCCGATGGGGGTAATGTTTTTTTGGTTGTAGCCTAGCAGTTTGGGTATACAGAATGGGGCATATGGATACTGAGGTCTCCTCCAAAATTACTGTATATTTCAGAGTACACTAATTCTGGAACAGAGTCAGAAAACCATACTTTCCGTGTGCTCCTGTTTGTCTGTGGGCCAAGTGTACAAGCGGTCTGGTGTACCCGCCTTGTTTCAACCTACCTTGAGCCATCCTTCGTGCTGAGGCCTGGGAAGCGCAGGTCCAACCTCCACTTCCTGCACGGGGCTGGGGCCCCAAGATGGCCCCAATGATTTCACGGATTGGGTGCCCAGCAAGTTGAGCGTTGAGCTTCTCAGATCATCCAAAGAAAACAATACAAGATGACCGGGCTCTGAAGCGCATGAGTAACAAGTTGCGAGTTCTTTGGCTGGAGCCGGGTCGAAACGGAACCAAATGGAATTGGATGGAACGAGATGGAACCGGATGGAATTTTCAATGGAAATCAAATGGACACCAACTTCCATCGAGCGAGTTTTTTTCTTGGAAAGTACCCGTTTTGTTCTTGCTTCAAAGAGAAGCCAAGAAAAAACACCACCTTTTTTTGGGGTGGCCTCAAAACATGAGGAACCCACAACTGGCGCGTTTAATGCTCGTAGTTTCCAGCCCCAAAACCACCGACCCCAGGAAGTTCGCGGTTGATGAGCGGTTTCCTCGGAGGCCACGCGCTTGCCGGAGAATCACCCGTCGCTGGAGCCGAACCAGTGACCCATCGATGTCGGTTCCTTGAACTTATTTAGGGGTTGGAGCACCAAAAGGCATATGAGTGAATCACTTGGCTGAACTGCTCAACCAGAAGGGTGCCTGTTTCTCTGACATTTGCCCTCATGGAGTAGACCTGAGCCAAAACTCCGGCTAGTTGGAGGGAGGGGGAAGTCGCAAAGTGGATGCAACGTTGCTCAACACCGCTGGGATGTGCTTGATGTATGTTTGCTCCCTGTCTGGGCATAGGCAGCTCTTTTCCCTTGCCATGAACTGAGCGCATGGACTTGATGAACTTGGGATCGTTTGGTTCGCTTCCTGCACCCCTTTCCCTGGACTCAAGTGGGTTTTCTAAGTGGTCCCTCTGCCAAGCGTTTCCTTGGGAAACCCCCCGTCCATGGGGATCTTTGGCAGGGTTGAGGAGCCTTGGGTTTAGATGTTGTGTGGGTTTGGGTTCAGGGCTGTCAGGGTTCTTGGGGGTTTGACGGAGTTTGGGGTGTGTTTAGAAGCTTTAGGACTTCCAGGTAAGGTGTTCTGAAGCTTCTGGGGGTTTTCCGGGCTCAGAGAAGTGGAGTCTAGGGGTGGGCTCGATAAGGTGTTTGTTGGGCTTGGGTATGTTTTTTGGGGGGAAGGGGCTTCAAGATCTTTGAGCTTCTGGAGCTTTCCAGGACTTAGGGGTTCCATTCTGAGCGTGTCGTGGGGCCGCGCACACGATTGAATGCGTCTCTTTTCGCGCCGCTTGTGGAGTTTTGACTCTTTTGTTCCAAACGGGGGGTCCAAGGGGAGGAAAGGGGTCTCAAAAAACACCCTGATACTTTCGGACCCTGGAACCTCTGAGCCCAAACCAAAGGGGGATTGTGCCAGTCCAAACTGGGTGCCAGGGAAAATGGGGCCCGAAACAAGAAAGGGCTTCATAAGCCGAGAGGGTGGTGGGGGCCCAACAAAGAAAAGCATGTTTTTCACGGGAGGTTTTGAAAGAACATTCTGCCGCAAGTTTTTGCCCTCGTTTCGCCATTTGCGGTTCTACCAAGGAGGCGATCGCAGGGAGGTCTCCAAACCCGAAATTCGATGAGCTCTGAACCCTAAAAGACTTTGTTTGATTCATTGCATAGTCTTGGGTAGATTCCTTGAAGAACAGGTTTTCATCGCAACTTAGGTAGAAATGTTGTAAGCTGTCCGCGGGCTCCTTAAAAGTACACTTTGCCCATTTGAAACGTGGCTTTTTCCACCAAAATAAGGGACACCACCATTTACAAGGCAATGTTCAGGTGTATAATGTAAGGATCCTCTTTCCGCGGGGACGATGTCCAGTGGCTGGACGGGGATATGGAAGGTACATCCTCCGAACCTGCGACACGGGCTTCTGCGACCGCGTCGGCCTTGCCTGCAGCCCAGAGGACGGAGACACAACCCCGCCTCTAGCAAGGACCATGTTACTTGTTGGCTATTGGGTTGGATCTTTAGACTCCAACTTTTTGGGAAATAAAGGTGTTTTCCAACCTCCAAAAGGTTAACTTTTTGCAGGGGGGTGAACAGCAAGGACCATGCGAGCCACCATTAAATCCCGGGTAAGTGAAGATTAGTAAGGGACGATCCCAGCCACAAATAGCTGCGGCCGCCTTCTTAGTTCTTTACATGGCTCTGGGTCGACCATTTGTGTGGGTTTTGATTGCGACTCATGTTATGCCGAACAGTTCCCCCCCAAAGTCAGCATTTTTCACCAAAATCAGACCGGGTTCCGATTGTAGGGATGCAACCCCATCCACGTGTTTACTCAGCAGACCGTTAGACCATGTTGGAAGACGCGTTTGATCCTATAAGAGGGCCAATATTGTTGCTTTCTAGATTTTGAGTATGTCTCGCCAGAACACAGACAAAAGAACATGAAAAGGACACCCCTGCGGACATTTACCTGTGTAGTAGGTAACCAAGGAAACCACCCTGTAAAAACTGGCAGGTTACCTACCATGCTGGTAGCCCGCCACACCAAGTGATAAACATTGTGGAACATGACACAGGAGATCCATTCAAAACCACCGGCTACTGCACAAAAAAAAAAAAAACACTTACCATTCGGGTAGGGTTGAATGTTTTCCACTGCAATAGCAACCAGCTGTTCTGATTGAACCAGTGGGCGGGTGCACTTGAGCGGGACGAGCTTTCTGAGAAGCGCAAACCCATAGATTGCCTTGGCTCCGGAGCCCAAAAGCACCAAGGCATCCCGAGCAGCCGAACTTCATCCTTAAAGTAAACTCAACAAGACGCCAGACAGGCCGAAGCAAACCTTGCCTCCAGAAAATGGATGCCGCATCGCCCATGAGTCACCTGTCATTTGGCTTATATTTGGTCAGCCTTGTGACCTTCCGAGAAACATGCACCTTGCCTAAACGTCGCGGGTGTTGTCCCCTTTGTGAGTGAGTGAGTGAGTGAGTGACTCACACAGACACAGACACACACACACACACAGACGCACACACACACACACACACACACTCAGACACACAGAGACACACAGAGATACACGGAGACACACAGAGAAACAAATACACACCGAGGCACACAGAGACCAACAGAGATACACGAACAAGCTAACTTGCGCAGCTTGGCTCAGCACCGTTTGCTATGCAAGCACTCCTTGCGCAACTCATGCATGCTCAGGGAAGCACCTAGCCAATCCAAAAACAACACCCCAGGCAGTAAGCATGCGCAGCTAGAACGTGAGGTGCCCCGAATCAAGGGACGGCCCTGGATGAAGGGCAAAACCGCCAAATCCGCTGAACACTTCATGGGGGTTATCAAGGTATTCACGGTTGGCTGTTGAACTTGGCTGTGCCCATTTCGGTCCAGTTGTCGTCAGATTGCAACAGGTGATCGCCTTCAGTTTCCCGGTCCTGTGGGACAGTCAAACCATGGAGCCCAAAGCCCAGGTGATCTCCCCAACAGCAACCCCCAACAGCACCCTTCCGGAACCCTACCCCGCTCCCTTCGCAACTCCAGAGTCAAAAAGGCAACCCCAAAGCTTTTTTGGAAAGACACCCGATGAGAAGCCCCAGTTGATTCATTTTTTGCGACCAACGCTGAGTCGAACCCTGGGTGGCTCCCAGCCATCCGGTTCCTTAGCCGTTTAGTCTTTTAGTGTTTAAGGGTTGGATTTCCATTTAACCCCATGAAAGTTAGTCACTTTTAGCGGGGGATCTGAAAACGGACAGCCCAGAAGCCCTAGATGGATGGTGAGTCATTCCGAAGCACCGGCCGGAAGCTCCGCGTAGGACTTCAAGCCAGTCACTTGGTTCACCTGCTGCGATGCGCCGGGGTGGCCCGGTGGTTTTTCGATCCCCCCGTTGCCCTCCCTACGGTGGGCGTAAGGAACGCCAGGGACGAGGTGGTTTAGCAACCAGTAGTCATGAGGTCTCATCGTGACTAGGTCCCTCAGTAGTGCCCTTTCTCACCCCTTTTTTGGCTGGGAGGGTTCAAAATAGACTACAGAAAAGGAGTTGGTACCCTTATTCTAACCTCTCTACTGGAGGACCTAGGTCAAGGATTTTTGTTTGTCCATCCACAGTATATTGTGCGCCTTTTGGGTGGTTTGAGCTTCTGGGGCCTAAAATGAGTCTCCCTAGTGATGTTTTTAGGGACATACAGACATACAGTCTGCCCCTATTGGGCTTCCTTCGCTTGCCCTTTGAAACTTGTTGCGTGGGGTCTGAGTCAAGGGTCGGGGGCGGGGGGACTGAAAGTAGCAGTTTCCAGGGGGTGTCTTGTCTCAGGGGTCGCTCAGAATCGGGATCGCACAATTTGCACTAGGGGCAGCGTCAGCTCCAAAACAAAATCAGATGTGGGTATGGGTGAAAATTAAACCACCAGGGGACCGCGGGTGTAGTCCTTGCTTCCCTTGGGCAACCCCAGCCATATGGTTTGAGGGGGCCTAAGTTTCGACTGATGAGTGAGCAATGAAACGCCTATATTCAGCCCCCCGTGGTGGTTTCAATTGGTGGTTTGGAGATTTGAACCCCTTTTGACACTCGGGGAAGGTGCCAAACCAATCCATTCCAATCCAAACCAATGAAAGGGAAGCTAATATGTCGCAACATGGTTAGCTTCCTTTTGGTTTTTCTGTAAACCAAGGTGAAAAATGTACCCCCCAACAGCAGACACTCATAAAGCATATCTTGCTCGTTCTGAGCAGGGGATCTGGGATCAGGAGGGCCATTCAATCATGTTCCCTGCGGAGGACAATCCTGTGTGTGTGTGTGTTTTTCGTTTTTTTCCGCGAATAAGTATTGGCACGCCGCGAATCGTGCTTGAGTCTCCAGTATAGTGGATTTCCTGTGAAGCAAGTAGGGGAATGGGTTTGCATCTAGGAATCCCCACCCCCTTAAAATTGGAATTGGGGGAGGGGGGTGCCCCCTGGAATTCCATTTCTGGTCCCATTTTCCCTTTTATGGGGAAGATTAGATAGATGGAATTAGGGACCCCCCACCCGCTTCCCCCTCATGGCTGGGAGTCTTTCCTGAATGCCCTTGGTGGCTTTTCTCTTGGCTCCACTCCCCACCCAACGGCAGCACCATTTTGGTTTCGAGAGTGAATTGGCTGTGGCTCAAAAAAAAAGACAGGTGCCAAAATGGAACCCTGGTAAGTGGAAACATGGACCAAAGGTTTGCCCCTCCTTTTTAATTTTGAGGCACACCCAATTCCTCAGAATCCACCCATACCTGAAAGCGGGCTGTATGATTAGACAGTCAGGGTGCGAGATAGCCCCTACTTGTGAGCCTCTTGTTTAGTGGTCCCTAGATTCCTACATACCCTCGTGAAGCCAGTATAAGAGGCTATGAAAGGGTGAATGGTTTACTTTGAAGCCAAATCGATGTGTCACCGAGATGTGATAGGTGTTGAAGCTAAGGCACACCCTGATTTTCGATGCTGTGAGTCAAAACCAATAGTATCTTGGGGTAGGTGAATTCACCACCCATTTTAGAACCTATTTTAGTGGTTGGATTGGGATATTTACTGGGGGTACGAGATTTTGACCCATGGCCACGTGGGCGTGCTCCAAAAGGGGCCCCCCAAAAATGGTGTTTTGCTTTTTGGCGTCCCATGGCCACTTTGACCCATGGCCATGTGGGTGGTTTCTCGAGTTTCTGGGGTCCGCCCGCTGATAGCCCGCCTTGAGGCGCAACACGGACACCTTGTGCAACGAGCCGCCTTGCTGGTTTCACGGCAACGGATGCCCTGCCCGCGGTCCCAATGGCCCAAGGGGTCCCAGCCATCCGCAGCCATCCGCTTTTTAGGCTTTCAGTGTTTAGTGCTTGGATTTCCACTATGGCAACACATAACAGTTAGTCACTTTTCGGGGAGCTGAAAGCGGGCAGCCCAGGTTTCCTCACTCCCGAAGTTTCTGCTGGGGTCTGGACTATCCACTCAGGAAGTGAGTTTCCAGGCAGCTTTCAGAAGACCCCTGCCCGTGTTGGGAGGAAATCAAGCAGCTTGTTTTTTCTGCACCTGAGACAGGAGTCTCTTTCAAATTGGCTTAATAGATTTTAGGCTAGACTGCATTCGACTAATTTGAAGATCTGCATATCTGTTTTTGTGTTCCCGGCGCTGGGCCAATTTGGGCCTTCGTTTCAAGGTAAACCCTGCAAACTTCACTTCTTGAACCCGCTTTGGAGGGGCCTTGATTCCTCGAGATGGGTGTCAACAGTGCCCTGTTCGCGCGAATCTGGCGTTGGGATCACTGGACAGCCCCGTCAAGAAACGGGAGAAGCTTGGCGGATGTCTTGATATTTTCACGGCGACGCTTTGAATAGGAGCCGTGACGGTCCCAATCCTCGATGCGAAACGGATCGGGTCGATTCGGAAAGGGGCGGAAGTCTCGGGTTTGCTTTGAACCAGTGGAAATTGGGTGCGTTCCCCTTCAAACTGCCCAGCCCAAAACAAGTTGCTGCGATTGTTTCCATGGCCACTGGGCAAGGATTGGTGGTTCATGTTTGTTGGCATATTTGTCAACATCCAGAGAACATCCACTTCAACCTGGAAGAGTCATGGCCCCTCTGCCCGGGCCAGTGACCCTCCAACTTGTTTAATGGCCCATAAACCAACCCTGGACCAAAAAAAAGCGGTCGAGTCGGATGGTTTAAAAAACAGTTTTTTGATGATCGACCCCGAAAGTCCGCAGAGGGTTCTGATAGCTGCGAGCCTTTTGTCAGGCGTGTGGTTTGACATGCGGAGCCGACTTCACAGGGCGTCGCTGTGTGCTGCCTGCTTTTACTGCGGCGTATTCTGAATTTGATGATAGTGCATACATATTTGCAAAGACACTACGTTCCATTGACTTGTTGTATTGCAGTACATTACATTACGTTGCATGACGTGATTGTATTATACTCTATTGCATTACATGCCCCATTACATTATACATATTACATTCAATTACGTTACGTTACAGGCATACATCATACCCTATGCGTAGTGGTTTTAACGTGAGAATTCTGGATTCCCAACCCGATGCCTGTTAAAGCCCTCCAGGGTGGTTGTTGGGAGCGGAAAAGAGTTGTACTGCGTCGAAAAAGTCAGAACGAGGGCAGAAAGGACAGGCGGGGTCTTTTGGTATTGTTCCTCTATGAGATCTTGGCGTGAAGTTTTCGGCATGTGTTTGTGTGTGTGTGTGTGTGCGCGTGTGTTTGTGTCCTTTCGGGCCGCCCTAAAAAAAAAGAACGGTTCGGATTGCACTCAAGAACAAGCTGTTTTTGGTGTACTAACATTGTTGGAACAGCACATACCATATTCTGCACCAAGACCACCTCTCAGACCAAGTCCTCCGCCCTCGCCGCTTCAGTAGCCCAGGTTTCTTTTTTGAAACCAAGGGCAACTTTTTTTCCGCGCGGATTGCGGCTCTTTTCCGCCCAGTGGGCATCTTTATGCTCCTCGCACCACTTGTTTGTTCCGTTCATTACCACGTGATCTCAACAGACTCGATGGGAGGGTCAAAGGAGGCTTCTGGGCTCGAGAGGTGATCTTGGTGCTGAATATGTCATATGCTGTTCCAACAAGTTAGACCAGCACGTGTTGGGTACTGTTTGATCTTCGCGAGGCACTTTTCCAAAATAACCATAAGCTCACATGTTAAGCTTCTCAGCGGCAGCTTTTTGGGCTTTTGGTCCAAGTTTTCCGTTTGCGCAGTGCCTTGAGGGTAGGGCACCCTTTGGGGGTTCCTGTGAGTTTGTTGCTCTTTGGCGGCCCTCTGGCCTTTTGAAGCTTTCGGCAAAATGACGGTTTCCCTACGATCAACAGATTGAGCTTTTGGGGGGTCCATGACCGATTTTGTGTTTTGAACGCCGGCGCAATTTTGACGCGTTTTTTGCCACAAGAAAACCCGAGGTGCCACAGACGGCGCCTGGATTAACTGGCCGGCGTCTGGAGCGGGGCCGAAAGCGGAAAGTGCAGGGTGACGTTCTTTTCAGAAGCCGGCCGTTTCCCCAGGCTGCTCGCTGCGTTCTCTGGGAGAAAAAACACAACAGCATCCCTGGAAAGAACGGGACGTTTTTTACCCACCAAACTGAGCCAAGATATGCGATTCCTTTTCAGGAAATGGGCCCGCAGGCTGCGAGGCAACTTGACCTTGTGAGCGCCGTGGGGTTCTAGTCAAGCCTGCATAAGCCTTGAAGACCATGTTAATCGAACCAAAAGTCCATGGGTCAAGCGGGCGCGCTGCTCCCGCAAAAGCCGTTTTTTCAGCTTCTTTGGTTAAGTGGAGGTTCCAAAAGCTTAATGTTTTTCCCAGGTTCTGTGGGCTATGTGAGTTATGACCTGACCTATCATCAAGCAAGCCCAGCGGATATGGCCCATCCCAGTTTGTGTTGCTGACACATACACACACACACACACAGGGATCAGTTATTTGCTGTTAATGCAGATATCTTCACTTTCGATATTTAGTCTTTGGTCAAGAGGTTGCTTTGCCTCGAGATGTTATTTGATCATATTCGCTTCGGGTGCCGCAAGAATGAGGCGATATTTCAATAGCGTTTGAGGGTACTTCAGTTGGTTTGAAAGGGAAACCAAAAGGAAACCAACCATTTTGGGGTCCCTGTTTCGAGGCAGACCCAAATGGTCCAAACAGTGGTTTTTCAAGAAGGGACACCACCGTCAAAGTTCTCACCGACCAACTTCCCCCATAAATTCCGGGGAGCATAGACGAGGAATGCCCAAAAGGGAACCTTTGATGCTTGAGCGTGTCTTTTTTTTGAATGGCCGGCTGAGTTGCAATTGTGTTGCGACAAAGTTCAGACACACATTTTTAGCTCGCCCCGAAAGATTCACATATCTCGCCCCGATTGCAAGAAGCCGGCAGGACAAGCCAGGACTGGGCAAGGACGAGGCACGGGGTTGCCGAGGGAGCTCTTCGTTTGGGGATGGTGGCCTGGGTTCGTATCCTCACCGAGGGTTCTTTCACAGCGAACCATTGGGGGGCTGGTGACTTTCTAAATTAATTATAGTGTATGTATGCACTGGCGATGGCTGGTGAGACGTTGCTGGTTCCTCAGACGCAGACAAAACGTTTCTGGTGTGTTTGACATGTCCAAGATGTCCGACCTCTCTGACTCATCCGGAATAAGTTTATGTGGTTGTCGTGTCTGCGTGTCTGACATGTCTCACGTGTCCCACTTCTTGGATCGTGAGATCAGAAATATAACTAGGTCCCCCAGTAGTGCCCTTTTACTCTTTCTTGGGGGAGGGTTTCCCTACTAAAACAGACGACAGAAGAAAACAATCGGGTACCAACTTATTCTAACCTCTCTACTGGAGGACCTAGATAACCACTTAAAGAATCGGGGTCTACATCATTAGCCATAAGAGCGGACATCAGTTGCACGAGGATGTTTTCACTTCGAGGGGCTGCGATGGGTCCGGGACACCCCAGGGCGCGCGGATTTGGTGTCTGATGCCTGATGACGCCAGCTGGATTCTGTGTGTTTGACTGCTGGATTGCTTGATTCTTTGCGTGTTAGCTGGATAGTTGGTCGATTGGTTGTTTCTGGTTGGTTGGTTGTTTGATGACGGAAAGCGCTTCTTTGAAGCGGTTGAGAGTTGGGCCACAGGGTGGGGGGAACGGGATAAAGGAGGGGGTCGGCTGCTCGGCCCGATTTGCAGAATTTTGCGTCCAAAAAAGACGGCTAAAATTTGGGTGTCTTTTCCATCTGTCCGGGAATTGCTCGCTCGCTGCATTTTTGCGCAAACACCTGCGTTTTACCATGCTTTTGCGAGGTGCTTTCTGCGTTGAGCTGGCTCGTTTTGCGTGCCTTTTTTGTTTTTTCTCTTTGCTTGCTTACTGCTTGCGTGTTTCGCACTTGGACCTGCGATGCTGGGGATGCTGGGGGTGCTGGCGGCTCAGCAAGCACGCGAGATGCTGGGGATGCCGGGGATGCTGGGGATGCTGGTGATTGCGTTCCCTTGTTTCGTGTAAGCAAGTGTTTTTTTTTTTTGCGTTTTGGCTTCACAAAAGACGGCTAACATTTAGGCATTTTTTTGGATGCTTTTAGCGCTCAGCGTTCGCTGGCTGTCGCTTTCGGCCTGCGGGTGCTCGCTTCTTCAGTAGGTAACGACACAGACGCAGATCAGAAGAGAAAAAAGGGCCGGGCGGTCCGATACTGGTTGCTCACAGATGTCCACCCAAAAGACGCCAATTTTTTAGCCGTTCTTTTTCCCCTCAACTCAGACTTGCGCCAATGGGGACTCGGCAGGACCGGGACAGGGAGCGCGCCTTCCGTTGTCTTTTTGTTGCAGTGTGAATTGTGGAAGTGTAGGGTTCACAAGCATAGCAACTCCGAAATGTTACAACATGTAAGCCTGAAACAAGTGAGTAAGGACCTACCGACCAGGTGAGCTCCCGATTTTTAGTTTTACTTAAAGCGGCCAAGACTCGGCGGGCCTTTTTTTCGGGCCGGCACGTCTCAGATTGTAAATTCCCTGTCGAATTCGGGTTTTCTTTCGACATTTTTTCTCAGAAGCGCCATTGGAAGGGTGGCAAAGGGAAGGCCCCCAGGAACCAAGGCATTGGGTGTTTCTCTTTGAGAAGCCCTGTGCACCCATTTGCCTTGTACCAGCGAAGACTTGCTGGCTTGGACCCATTGGAGCGCTGGAAGCTTGAAGCTCACTCTCCAAAACCCCGTGAGAAAAGGAGAAGTCGTGGATGGCCAGGTGCCGAGTGCCACACCGGTTTTAGTGTATTTTTTTGACCTTCACACCCTGCTTAGGCACCCAGATGGGTTTCTAGGTCCGCCAGTAGTGCCCTTCTCTCCCCTTTTTTGCGGGAGGGTTCCCCTACTAAAATAGACTGCAGAAAACAGTTGGTACCCTTATTCTAACCTCTCTACTGAAGGACCTAGGTTTTCAGCAGTCGTAGGATGGTGGTGTGGCCAGCTTTTGCACTAGTTGCCTCAGACTTGTTTCACGGCATGCTTGGGCAAGACAGAAAAGTGTCAGGACTCGTTGTCTGGTGGTCAAAGCAAGTTGGCCCTTTTCTGGGACGGCTTGCAAGAAAAACCACAAGGAAAGCAACCGTTTTGGAGGAGTCTCTAATTTTGGCTCATCCCCAATAGTCATGCCTGTTTCAAGATAGGCACAACCTCGGGTCGAATGATTTCGTATTATGGTGAGTCCAAACTGAAACCAATTGGACGTGGTCTGGTGAGGCTCCCAGACAAATAGGGTATGTTTCAACAGGCGGACCTGCCGAAACTCGGTCTTTTTGTTACCCTTGACACATCAGCAAAGCAAAACAAATATAAAGCGTGGTTTCCAGACCTCCAGAGGCTCATTAGTTCGGGTTTGTCTCTCAAGGGGCCCTTTTGCAAGATCGGAAACTGAAGCATAGAAGTCCCTTGACTTCAGTTTGGTTCAAAATAGATACTGAACGGGGGTTTTCTTTGGAGGCTACGGGTTTTTCGCGCTGGGAAGGGCAACCCCTCATGTTCGGATTTTCGGGTCCCCTAAACCATAGGTGTCCTTTTTGGTTGATTTGGTTGGGCGATTCCTGGTTTACCTGGTGGTTCAATCAACTACCAGGGAAACCCATCTATTTTCAACCAAAAATGACACCTCTGCCCTAAGCCCTTTCTTTGATTGAAAGACGGGGAAAGCGTCCTTCTCCAGGGGGACCGCCCAGATCTTCTGGGCTCCTCCCCATGCGGGATCACACTCTTTTTCCGGGACCAAACAATCTCTACACTTCTTCTTAGAATGGATTTCGGAATTTCTGTGGTAGGTAGCAGGGAAATTAAGAGGAAACTAACAGACACCTCTGATTTGGTTCAAACGGATGGCTTTGGAAAAGAAGGATGGTTGAGAAACAAGCGGCACTTCCCAACATTTTCCACCCAAACATGTTTGGGTTCTGAAAACAGAGGTGGGAAAGGAGTCAACTTTTCGATGTGATGCCGATGTCCTCTAGGTCCCCCAGCAATTGGTGCCCGACCTCTCGCCCCTTTTTTTGGTGGGAGGGGATGAGGGGAACCCTCTAAAATAGACGACAGAAAAAGAAACGGTACCCTTATTCCATCCTCTCTACTGGAGGACCTAGTCCTTCCTTTAACAGTGAGGCGGACACGGCCCCAGACGTGGGGTGGTTTCCCCATGTTAGCCCCGTGGGAAGGCGTGAGGACCCCCCAAAATGGAGTTCGGGCTTCCTTTTGCGCTCTCAAGCCAACCTGACGAAAGGGTACCCGCCCGGCCGCGGGCGTGGGACCTGCCCGTTAGTAAACAAGCCTCCCAAACACACGACAGAGATCCCCACCAACATGATGTCCATGGGTTGTCTCAAAATGGGGGCCTCTAGCACCACCCGAAAAGGACACACCCGTCTTAAAAAAGAGAAACCACGCTCATCTTGTGCAGGGCTGGTTCGACTCCTGGAAGCACCGCCACAAGCCGTTGAGCTCTGTGGACGAGAGCGAGGTCCGGATGCCCTGTTCCGTCGGACAGCTTGATTAATATGTCGAATCCTACTCTCTTAGGAGGTCACCCCAAGGAGAGTCTTCTAAAACGCGTCTTCGGGGTTCCAGGAGTATGTCAATTTGCAGGGATCGGCCTCAAAGGGGACTACGAGGTTTCTGCCGGTTTGATGTTCGAGCGATTCCACCAATTCGTTCAGGAAAGCTCGCGAGCCGTGATGCTGGGATCCCCTTAACTTGGGGTTGCGGAACAACAGCAGAATTTTTGCCGACCTCAAATGGGACTATGAGGTTTCTAAACCCGTAGCAGCGGACACCGATACTCCTTGAGTGTGCTGTAAATGGGAGACCAAAGGGACACCACCCATTTTACCAGCACATTGCCTTGGCCGGTTTGGCATCACATGACGTCCCTATTCTCAAGGGTCCCAAGAAATGTCACGTGAAGAAGAATCAGGCGTTGCAGGTTCATTTCCAGCGTTGCACGATATGGTACAATGCTTGGATAGGAGTAGCAATGCCTTTCAGGACGCTGGCGCTACTTCGCGCAAACATCTTCAGGCAAGCTTTGTTTGAAGAATCACCCCCTGAAGCAGCCCAGAGGAATTCGTTTTCGAACAGCATGTGGCGCGGATTGATCCCCTGAGCCGGTGGAAGAATCACCCCCTGACCTTTGAAAGGAAGGTGAGAAAACGAGGTCAACCAGCGGTTCTCCGAATTCCCACCGCCTTTGTGGGCGCTGCTCGGCAGGCCTCCGAGTACGACAGGGAGCAGGCGTACCAGGGTTGGCCTGGGGCCTAGCTCTCGAGAGTCCGGTAGCACCTTCCAAAGACCTGCTTGCTTTCAAGCGGATGGTCATGAACCCGTCAGTGGGGAACTTAGACCATCCTAGTAAGGATTCTCACCGAAGCTATGACCACATGGTTGTTGTTGGAAAACATTTTACATGTTTGCTTATTGTGGAACAAGTGGTTGAAACCCAACCACTTGACTGCTAAGATTGAGACATTGTTGCTCCCCTTCCAACGTCAACCAAGAACAACTTACAAGTGGCACTGGTACCCTTCGATAGCCTTTGCAAGGTGCTGGCATTGGTTGGACTCGAAATTCAGTGACCCTTTCATGGAGCAAGCTGGTGTACTGACCCAATAACACGGAACCCAAAGAAGGACCCTACGCACTCACCAGGTTTATCTTTCAACCAATAGAAGAGAGTCATTTTCGAAAAACGAAGAATCATGTATGCAGAATGTTGGTCCAGCCAAATATTTTCCGAAACAGGAAGAATCATGTATGCAGAATGTTGGTCCAGCCAAATCTTACAGTAGATCTGCCAGCTTGATCATACATATTTTACATAGTTTCGAGCAGAATACGCAGAACATCCATATATACCGAATAACATAGAACCTGAATGAAGGCTCCTGGAACATTTGCCGAACAAGACTGAAGGCTTGCCAAGGCTTTCTCGATGTGCCCGCAATGTGGGGTTTGTTTTAAGATAGGGAACCCCAAAATAGGAGGAAGCCGCCGACCGAAAAACACATCCGGTGAACATGGATTGCAGTGATTCCAGCGGTGATTTGCCTGGCACCAGCGCTTTCGCGAGTCACACGCGGCTGGGCACGCAGTACTACCTGGGGTGGCGCGACTGCACAAGCTACGCGTGGCTGATGGCGAGCCGTTGCTCGAATAGAAGGACTGCCTTCAGCTCGCGTGGTGCATTGTTCTTGGATGTTGGAACTTTAACTATTTGCCAACCAGTGGGTTTTCCACTAAACCACTAAAAGTTGAACTTTTAGCAGTGGCCTTGCATTGTAATGCGTTCGTTACTGTTTTTCCACCACGCCAAACGATTGACTTTTTGCAGGGGTCACATGACGTGCCAACGCCTTTTGTATGTATACAAAGCCATCTCAAATACGGGTGATGCTACGTATGACCTAAGCAGCAAAAAGTTCCCAGCTTGCATCCCATTTCAAGCCTAGAGCCCGTTTGTTGGAGCCCATTTAAGGTCAGCCCAAATTATCGCACAGTGATTATCTTCACGTCATAGAAATTTCTGAGTCGAAATTGTGGGAAGGATGTAAGGTGCAAGGCCTCCAAACCAGTGTGAGCGCGCCAAAGACTTAAAGTCCAATCTGACCCGAATTGAATGCTCTGGCAGCTGTTTGGGGCTAAAGAATGTGAGACAAGTAGGGGACCCTGTTGTGTTAACTCTCCTGGCTTAGGAGTCCCAAAAGGGGTGCCAAGCTTTGATGTGACGCATACCTGCACGGAGCCTGGGGAGTGGTTATTCTACGGGTTCAATAGAGTTTTGACACACGTGCGCCCCAGTGGCAAAGCAAAACCAAGAACCCATGGCTGATAGAGGGTTGTTCCATGAGAACCAGTCGCTTTTTTGGTGTGTCTCCGTGAGTTAGTCAACCCTTGGTTGGTTGATAGGGGGTGTCCACTTTTAGAAAGGACCCAATGGGGCCACCCGCTTGTAATCCGGGTTCTTTGATCCGATTACAAACAGCGAAGCACCAAGAAGCCGCTCTTGAAAAAGGCCAAAATCGGACTGCAACCGCGGACATTGATCGCTTGCCTTTTAACCTTTCACCACAAGGGGTTCCCAGAAAGAGCGAAGGAAAACCCAAAAAGACTAGTAACCGAACATTCTGAGCACCCACCACCTTCATTGACCACAGTAGTGGGGAAGTCCTAGTACATAGTTCAGTGGTTTCCATGGGGATTACTGTAAGTGTTCTTCACCTTTGGAAGCATGCATAAGTAGAATCAAGTGTCAATCGGTTTGGGGCTCTGCTCACCCGACTGAACCAATGCCATTGCGCTGGAACTAGATTACGAGGCTCCGGATCATCAACTTCGGGAATCATCGATGGTTGCGAGAAGTCCAAGGGTCCATCCCACCACCAAGCTACTAGCTGCCCTTTGTTCCCTCATCTGATCACAACACAGCAGCCATCATTCACTCGGACTTTGGCAGAGGAGAGCATGTGTTGTTTTTGGCTGGGGAAATGCCGCAGCTCCATGTCCATTCAACAGCGTGAAGAGCATTCCGAGTCCTGCGTGCGGGGAATCAATGCCCACCCTATTGGAGTTGCTTTGGAAAAAAAACACAGATGGAAACCAACCACTGGGAGGGTTCCTGAGACCATTTTTTTTACACATATTTTGGGGACGAATATTATGAAACTCTAGGGGTGCCTTCCCCATTCCTTCTTTTCAGGAAACCATCAAACACCCAGGGGAAACAGCCGGTTGAAAAGAACGATGGTTGAAAAGAATGGACAAGGAATCAACCCCTAGAGAAACAAGATACTTTCTGCGTCCCCCCCTTCTTGTTGCATGTTATATGCTGGGCTAGAAGAAACATATGAAACCGAACCTTGAGATATTTTCCTGTGCACACACACACACACACACACACACACCCCTGGGCCGTGCGCCAAGGGTTTGGCGGTTTGGCCAAGGCACCCCAGCTCCCACGAGCGTCGCCTCATCTTCGCCCGGGGCAATTTGCCCGGAGGCCCAGTCGAGCCTCTTGAGGCTCCGAGGCTTCGAGGCTTCGAGATTTCGCCACTCGGCGTTGGGGTCCCCCAGTGCCGTGCCCGACCTCTCACCCCTTTTTTGGCTTTTTGAGGGTTCCCATCTAAAGTAGACTACAGACCAGACAAAAGTGGGTACCCTTATTCTAACCTCTCTACTGGAGGACCTACCAGGAGACAGGATGTTCGGGGGGTCCTGGTTTGGACAATTTTCTTCTTAAAGGGACCCCCTTGTCCGTCAGGTTCCAGGTGAAAAGGGTGGGAGGATATTTGTTTCATGTTGTTCCCAATTTTTGCCCCGGGACTCGTTTTACTTCGCCCTCCAGTTTCGCGTTGTTCCCTCGGAGCAACTCAGTGTCTTACTTCCAGCCTGGGCCTGTCAAGACATCTTTCTGGACCCTCCAACACTTTGATTATCAGGCCTACAGATTTTGTCGCCCTTGGCATACCGCTTTCGCGACGCCGCGTTTTAGGCCGGGCTCCGAAGATCTCCGAAGACCATGGTTTTAGCCATTGTCTTTTTTGGGTCCTGTGGATCCTCTTGTATTGTAGAGCGGCTGCTTTCTTCCATGATTCATGGCTGGGGGCTTTGTTGATCTGGAGTCAACGTGCCATGACGAGATTGAATGACTTTCCGTGTCATGTGTCTTTGGGAATGGTCAACGTTTGCGTTGGTTTCGCAGATGTCCACATGTAAGGGTGCCCTCTTTGTGTCAAGCTTGACTGCTGTTGGGTTGGATCTTTAGACTTCAACCTTTTGGGAAATCAAGGGGTGTTTCACTAACCCCCCAAAACGTTTTTTTTTGACAAAAACAAAAACTTTTCTCCGGGGGGTGGTTGCAACCAAGCAAGGATATGGGTTCATGGCTATGTCCAGCACTTGACTATTTGCCAATCAGTGATGGCTCCATGGCAGAGGATTCTGTCCTCCAAGTTCCCTGGGTGCAAGGAGAGAAACGGAGCATGTCCCGTGACCGTTGCCGCAAGCTAGGGCCAATGATCAGGGCCCTACCCACCAGAATGGTTCTCAGAACCCGTCCACTTCCATTTGTTTAAGACTATTTTTTATTTTCCCCTGTTGGTTTTAAAGGGAATCTATGACTACTGGACATTTTTATTTTACTTTTTCCAGGGGACTTGAGCAAATGGAGGTTATTAGGGCCCACCCACCAGAATGGTTCTCAGCACCCGTTCTAAGAACCCTTCTTGGGTCGTGGAGCTAGTAGGTTTTTTCCTCTTTGGGCTCACTCGGTTGAAACCGCCCCCAGCCGGTTTCTTCAATGGGATACGAGCCTTTCGGAGGGCGTTTGAGGCGTCTTCCACCCCCGTGAACGCAGGACCACCGGGCCAAATTTCGGTTGAAAAGTGTTGAAACATGCCGAGTCCGGCCCTCCGATTATGTCTTTTCAAGGCCTTTTGGGGGCCGGGGGTTGGAGATTAGAAAGGAAACGAAAGGAAGCCAGGCCGCATTGCAGGGCTTGAACAAACCAATGGTTGCAACCAGCCACAGGCGGCCCAACCTGTCAACGAGGTTCCCTTTTCTGCATAGTCATCTTTTGGGCAAGATTCCAGTGGTCATATTGTCGTTTCCCCCGTTCTTTGGCCTTTTCGTGTCCTCCGAACAAATCTTAAGGTTCAAGGAAAGCCAGCAGGAAAACCATACTTGAGCCACGTATTTCCTTACATGGTTCTGGTCAAGCATTTTAATGCCGGGTTTTGATTGTGACTCACTTGGCGGACCATTATTTTACCACCCGCACTGTGGTGCACCACTTGGATAAAACCCATGGAACACTGGGATGAACCACCAGGTGCCTGGCTGCGTGACGCGGGTTTTGGTCCAGCATCTGACTTTTTGGGGTGCAGTTGGTCCCCACCGTTGCAACGACTTGGCAGGGAACGGGAAATGGCCCCCACTCACTATCCGACCCTTGGTGGCTCAGCTATCCGGTTCCTTAGCCTTTTAGCTTTTTAGTGTTTAGTGGTTGGATTTCCATTTCACCCACTAAAAGTTCGTCACTTTCGGGGATCTGAAAACGGACAGCCCTGAACCGGCTTCCACCTCAACCTGGAAATCCAGCCGGGCTCATTCCTGAACCCCCCGGGCCGGGGTCTTTTTGCCAGCTTTCATGGAACACTGATCGACCCCTCGTAGTGAAGGATTCCTTTTTGAGGAAATCACCAAAATTTTCTCACCAAAGGTGGCAAGAAGACCCCCCTGGTTCAGGCCACACAAATCCTGGCCGCCTCAGGTCGCAGTCCTTGGGCGATCGGCTTCTTGCCATGGAGGCGGACGAGCTGCCTGGGACCTGAGGTCGTTTTTCGGAGAGAAACGCGCCCGGAGTGGGACGCAGAATCTGAGGTCTTCCAGCAATTGGTGCCCCCCCTTTTTTGGTTTTTTGAGGGTTCCCCCAACAAAAAATAGACGACTGAAAAAAGATAGGGTGCCAACTTCTAACCTCCCTATTAGAGCACCCAGAGAAAGGACTCTTGGGCCAAGTTTCATTGTTGCGTTTGGAGAGATGCAGGGGTTTTCAGGGTTCAAGTCGATTCAGCTGACTGGGTCTTTGCCCGCTCCGGAGTCCGGAGCTCCAGTCAAGGGTTTCGGGGTCCAAAGGGAGCCGCTTTTTTGGGATGACAAGGTGAAAGGTGAGTGGGGGGGAAGACAACTGTACGGATCTGCCTCGTGAGAGTCCTACGCTTGCAATTGGAGCACTGCACCGTTTTGTTTCTTCTTTTTTTTTCTTCTTCGCACACACCCCAAAATTGCCAGCAGCCGACATCCAATGACAAGTCTGTTGAATTGCACTTTTTTGCCCTTCTGTTTGTTGCGTTCCTTTTGCGAAACACATGGCCAAGCCCAACAAGGGTTCCCTAGTGTTCTCATCCGCTGATGTGCGTTTGTCTCAAAGTGCGGGGATGGTTCCTCTAGGTTTCTCTTCAGCCCAGCCAAAAGAGGGTTTCAACTTTCCACTAAGAACTTGACTGCTATTGGGCAACGGATCTTTAGACTTTAACTTGGTTGAAATCGAGTTGGGTTTTCCAGTAAACCCGCAAAAGGTGAAAAGCTTTTTGCCGAGGGGTCGTTGCAGCAAGAGAATGGCACAGCATGCATCAACCGAGCGATTTGCGAGTCTTCCCAAGGTGATGGACCTTGGCTCTAGTGAGGCATCTGGTTTTTGGGTTGACATCTTTTCTTCCCCAGAATTAGTTCCCCTTTTTCGGCTTTTTGTTGTTTTTTGGTGTGTTTTTTTGGCTTCCCTTTGTTTTATTCTAACCAAGCAAAAAATATATATTTTTGCTGGGGTCCTAATTCCAACCAAGTTTTAGCCTCCAACATGTTTTGTGGTTTCCTTGAACCAGCCTCCACATTAATTTTGGTTTGCTGGCCTCCAACATGCTTGGCTGGTTTCCTAGGTGCATGCACCACCCAAGCCTAAACCACCCCGGGATTCCTGAACCAGGTCCAACCTGGACCCCAAACCTCCAACATGTTTTGTGGTTTTCTAGGTGCATGAACCTGGGCGTTTCCAAGGATTCCGAGAGAACCCGGCGCTTGATTTCTATGACTTCCATCCGGTTAAGACAATTTTATTTCCCCTCTTGGTTTTAAAGGGAATCTATCACTACTGGACATATTTATAGTGTTTTTTTTTCATGTTTTTCAGGGGACGAAAGATCAGATGGAAGGTTAGCTCTGTCGCACGAGAAGGTGGACTCTGGGCCTAAATCCCAGCCCAGCGCCCGTTTTCCTGGGGGAAGGGTCCCCTTGAAACTCAGCCAACCAAAAAAGGGGAAGGCTCTGTTTCGTCCATCCGAGGCCCATGCTTCTGGAAGCCCAGCGGCTCACCAAGGAAGCCGCCCGGAGCCCAAAGCGGGGACGCCGCGGGAGATTTGGCCAAGGGCGGCGGGGTTTGAAACCAACCCAAAAGGCCCCCGAAAGAAGCTCAGGTCTTCGACACGGCGCCCTGGCCTTTTTAATGCTCGCACCCCGCAGCCTGGTGGAACCATCGTGGAACCTTGCCTCAGGGCCGCCCCGGACCGCCACGGAGCCTATCTGCGCTGAGACCCCAAAGCTTTCAGCTGTTGAAAAAGAAGATGAAGAACACAAGGCGGACCCATGTTTGTCTCTTTGTCTTCCGGCAACTCGCAAAGTCGGCCAAGGTCAAGCCAAAGCAAAGGTGTCCTTCCCTGAAAAGCCGCCGGGCTTGGTGTCCCTTAGCAGTTGCACTGACTTAACCAACTGTGTTGCCCCTGTTATATTTTCCCGTTTTCTCTGCGACCGTTGATGTTTTGCAGGGGTCTAAGTCTTGCCAAGACAGATGTCCTGTACGTCAAGGTCTTTGCATCCACGCGCCAATAGGAGGAATTCTCAGCAGTTCCAACATTTGCATCGCATGTTGGTTTGTGACTGCCGTGATGGCAGCTTGACCTGCCACGAGGTGCCATGGTATTGAAAGTACTCATAGCCAGCCAGCATCTTATACCACAAGTGCCACAGGGGTCCTGTCCAGGTTTCTTCCTTTTGGTTACCAAGACTTGAATCCGGCTTCCGTTTTTTGGGTTTTTAGTTTTCTGGTTCTGGCGTGGATCCTTGGATCCTTGGGTCACTCCAAGCGGGGTTGACGCCTGTCCACGGCTGGACATCCAGGTGTCTTGTTTGGGTCTTGTGGGTTTTGAAGTGAAAAGGGAAGCCACTTTGTGATTCTTTTTGATACCCCAAAAATGACCAAGGTGCCTGGTAAGGTATGGGTTTTGAAGGGGAAAGGGGGGGGGGCGGGTGATTCCTTTGAACACAGATCCAAGTTGGATGACCAACAGATGGCCGCCCCCGTGAGCGACGCCATGAGGCTTTGCTGGGCCAAGACGATTACATTGCGGACTGGGCGGTTCGGTCGTGCGTTACGGGTCGCTTCCATTTGCTTAAGATGTTTTTTCTTGTTTTTGTTTCTTAAAAGAAATCAAAAAAAACCCTGTTGGTTTAAAAGGAATCTATCACTACTGGAAATATGTTTTCATGTTTTCCAGGGGCTTAAGCAAATGGAGGTCGCGCCTTGGATTGCGCGGATCACAAGTCGGATGCTCCCAGAGCCACGAAGGATGGCTCGCCTGGCGAAAGGCTTGAGGCTCAGCTAGGTCCAGCTGGGTGCCCTGCTCTCCTTTTTTGGGTTGGGAGGGTTCCCCTAAAATAGACTACAGAAAAAAAGTTGCTACCAACCTTTTCTAACCTCTCAAATCTGGAGGACCTAGTTAAAGTAGCGGGAGATATTCGTTGGACCATTCACAGTTCCCCTGACGCCAGGGGGAAAGTATATGGCACGGTAGCTGGGGAAGATGGCGCAATTTCCCGGCCAATGTCCAACCACGATAAGGAAAACAAACCACAGCAAGAATCAAAACGACAATGAAAGGTTTTACAGGACACGGGAAGGAACAATGAAGGGACCTGTTCAGGTCCGCATACATGGAACCAAAAGGGAAAACAAGATTCATGTTGACATGGGTGTGGATCAAAATTAAGCCACCAGGGGACCGCAGGTTTTAGTCTTTGGTTCCATGTACCAGGCCAAGCCGTTTTAGGGGTTTCCAACTATTTTTGACTATCCACAGCCGCACACCCGTGTATTTCTGACGTCCAGGGTCAATCCAGGCCATTTTGAAGTGATCTGCGACCAACACAGCGCCTTGGGCCTCGAGGACGCGGCAGAGATCGTGGCTTTCCAGAGCATGACGCCCCTTGGATCGATCAAAACTTTGCGTTTGGGGCCGAAAAAGGCTTGGTGTTCCGGTTTTGGTGATGTTCGAACATCACCTTCTTGGATGTTTTGTTTTTTGGGGGGGTCTATAGCCTTGATTTTCCTTGGTGATTTTGGGTGAGTTGCCCTAGGGCTGTGGGATGTTTTTGAGGAGCCCTGTCCGTCCTTACCCGGAGGCAATTGAGAAAAAAAGAAAAAACGAAGAACGGCCGGACGGACGAGCCAAGTGTACCTGGCGAAGCTTGAAATGAAAGTGACGAACCCGGTCGGACATCCGCTTCCTTTGGTTTCCTTTGGCCCAGAGTTGAGTTTGTCTCAAGAGCAGGGTACCCCAAGATGCGTGGTGTCCTGCTGTTTTTCCCGTTAAATCCATAGATCTGGTCAAGCAACGCAAATTCTTTTTTTGCAGTGGTCCTCGGATCAAGCAAGGAGCGAAGTTATTACACACATACAGTGCTACTGTGGATGCACGAAATCCTGTATCATTTGTGATGGACGACACCCCACGTCTGAATACATGGAATGAACCATTTACAAGCTGGTGCAGATTTTCCTCCATCCACAGTATGATCATGCCTTGAGTTGGTTTTGAAGCACCCCACAGCCAAATTTATAATTCTTCAGGCGTTTATATAGCATCTTCCATGGCTTGTGGGGGGGTTGCAGATCTTGGAACCGCCTCGCAGTTCAAAGATGTGGAGTTGCCCTGCCCAAGCTGTGCTGGATCCGGGGCGGACGAAACTGCGGTGATTGCCATGCTCTTTTTTGGGGGCCTGTCTTGGGCAACTTGCACATTTTTATAGGCACATAGGTGCCCTTTTTGGTTGTTTTGGTCGAAAAATAGATGGCACTGGTTTACCTGGTGGTTGTTTTCATCTACCAGGGAAACCCATCTATTTCCCCTAAAAGGACGCTCGAGTCACCTTGTAATTTCCAGGCCTTCGGCAAGTGGGGAGTAATCGAAAGCAAACGATTCCTCATGTGCACGGTGCTCAGACGTTTATCCATTTGAAGTATATAGTGCACTTGTTGTATGTGAGCCGTACTCAATGCCACGCTGCTTAATGGGGCGTATGTCGAGCAATTCCATTTTCGTAGAACCCAGAATCACAATCAGTTGAATCTTTCAATTCAGGTGCTTTCGTGGTGGTTCCCTGACCCCCCCCCCCCAACAAAGGAGGTCCAACGTATTTTTCTGACGCACAGCCAGCGTGCTTTTGTGCTTGAGAGTCAAAAGGCCAGTTGATGGGGGTCAGACGAATGGTGAGGACTGGCAACACATGGTGTTTTTCCTCAGTTCGATGAGTTTTTTTTGCCAGAACCCACTTCCAAGTCTGAGTCGCCCAATCTGGCAGCAAACCTACTGTGGACGGACGAAATCCCGCACCACCTAAGAAACCATGGTTGAAACCATTGTTTGTTGGTATTTACAGGGGAATCCCGGTTCCAGATGGTTTCTGAACGGTGGTGCGATTTCTGGATTTCGCAACCATCCACAGTAGGGCCCCCCAAAAATGTGTGTTCGCTTTTTGGCGTCCCTTTGAACCCCGCAATTGGTGCGCTTGAAAGAGACCCCCCCCCCCATTTAGCAACCCCGGGACACCGAAGGAACGCGTTTTGCACTGACGGGTTTTGATCTAAGGGCCAAAGCAGATTGTGCTGCTGCCTCCTAACTCGGAGCCATTTTTGGCAGCAGGGGAGCTTCCCCCCCCCCCCCCCCCGACTTCCCGACGTCTGCCGAGCTGAGCGGAGCTGAGCGGAGCTCCGAGGCCGGCCATTGCGGCGAAGCTGGAGGCGGACAAGCGCGCCCAGGACTTCGATCGATTCCTCGATTCCAGCTGGCTGCCTGCGAGCGACGTCGATTCCACCTTTTTTTTGGGGGGGATGGCGACAGAAGCGGCAGATTATGAAGGCCATTTGCTTGCGGATCCAACTTCTTACTTCAGTTTTGGAGAATTAAGGTAGAGCTTGAAGTTGAAGCAACCAGGATGCCAGGCCCGGGTTCCACTTGAAAGGGACAGTGAGCTTGTACTTTCTTGAGGATACTTTTTGTGAGGTTGGTTAAAGGGGAACACAGAGGAACAGTCTAAGCCAGGGGGGGGGGGGCGGGGGTCTGTATTTTGAACCATGCCCAGCACGTGCGCATTGGGGTCCAAATAAGGGCCTCATGTTGCAAGTACGTAGGTTTGCCGCGGTTGTGTGGGTCAGCAGGCTTGGTTGACTTATGAGTGAAACCTGCGTAGGTTGAACATCAAGATATGAAGTTTCCCCAATTTCAGGAACCTGGGGAAGAGCCTAATCAAGAGTTTTGGAAGCTTAGGAACTCCAAGAACTCATGTTCAGGGGTCCTGATATCCACCTCATCCCCTTTTGCGCGGCACGGTGTCCTCTTGTGGAACAGGCTTCACGTTACAATTGAATCCAAATTGGCGTATCCTTGCCTGCATGTTTGGCTCTGAGTTAGGAGGCTGCAGCACAATCTCCTTTGGCCCTTAGATCAAAACCTGTCAGTGCAAATTTCAAGAGCACCCTTTGCGGGGTTCAAAGGGACGCCAAAAAGCAAAACACATTTTTTGGGGGGCCCTCTTTTGGAGCACGCCCATGTGGCCATGACCCCCAGTGAACATCCCAATCCCCACAAAAATAGACCAAAATGGGTGGTGCACCTACCCCAAAATGGTACCATTGGTTTTGACCCACAGCCACATCACCGGGAAACTCCTTGCCAGTCTTGGCTTTTTCCGGCTGCATACCTGTGACAGGATGACGCCATGCACCAGTTTGTTTGGCAACGTGCACGCAACGCGAGCCAGCGCATCACCAGGCGGGGTATCACAACCAAGGTGAACCCTTCCAGGATTTGATGTAGCTCTTTCGAAAGCATCTCTCCTCTCTCTCTCTCTCTATCTCTCTCTCTCTCTCTTTGTGTTTGTTGGAGGGCATCATTTGGTTTGAACTGAAACGAAACGGAAAGCCACAATTGTCGGGGCCTCCCCTGTTTTGAGACGTACCCATCTCCGCACGGCCTGGTTGTGGCAAAATGACACATTCTGTGACGTGTTCATACACATAATGGACTAGTTGCCACCATTCCCCTCGAAGTGTCAAATGCCAAGAAAGGAAGGATCCACCATGGAACATCAGGTTCCCGCACAAAGCAGGGGCAAAGGCCTTTTCGGAAGCATCTCTTCTGTTTCAGACCGCGAGACACACTGGTGGATATGGTTAACCAGGGGCCCTCCAACTACTTGGGTTGATAAAGTTAGGACATTATAGCAACCTCACCTACCGAGGTTTTGCGACCATGGTGCAGGCTGGGCAGGTGAATCATTATTTTTCGCCCAGAAAAATTGCCGAATCAGGGAAGGGATCCAGGAGAACACGCTCATGTTTCATGCATTCTTCTTATTCTTCTTCTCCCTCTTCTTCTTTTGCATCAGCATCACCATCACCATCACGTCATTCGGGGCTTGCGGGCTGGTGTTTTGGGAAATCAGCCACTGCGTTTGAAGCTTAACGTGTGAAATCGGAAGGCGATGTTTCGACACGGTTCCGAGAAATTCGGAGCCTCAGGTTGAACGTCATGCGGGCCGGAAGCCCAGTGCCGGTGTCCACATCTGTTGAGGGGTTTCGGATTCAGATTTCCTAGGGTTTAGGGTTTGGGGTATTCCAAGCCAAGAGGTCCATTCAATCTTCATAACCAAATGGTGTTAAGCCAAGTGGTGAATACAAGCGGTATAGCTATATGGTGTTTGGCAGCTAAACTGCATAGGCAAGTGGTGAATTCGAAGCTCATGGCCAAATGGTGTTTGACAGCTAAATTGCATAGCCGTTCAAAGCCAAGGGGTGAATTCAAAGTTCATGGCCAAATGGTGTTTGACAACTAAGGTGCATAGCCATTTAATGCCAAGTGGTGAAGGCAAGCTTCATAGCCAGAGTTTGATAACAAATGTGCATTGCCATTCAAAGCCAAGTGGTGATGCAAACTTCAGACAAATGGTGTTTGACAATTAAATTGCATAGCCTGTCAAAGCCAAGTGGCGAATTCAAGCGTCATCGCCAAACAGTGTTTGACAGCTAAATTGAATATAGGCAATCGAAGCCAAGTGGTAAATTCGAAGTTCATAGCCAAATGTTGTTTGACAGCTAAATTGCAGAGGCATCAAAGCCCAGGTGGTGAATTCAAAAGTTAAGCTGCATAGCCAATTAAAGCCAAGTGGTAAATTCAATCTGCGGTGTTTGGCAACTCAATCACGTCTTAGTAGAGTCAACAGGCAATGAGTCTCTTGCTGCTCACACGGGCAAGTGACTGAATTTTTGGTAGACTGTTCTCAGTTCGGGAGCGACGTGGGGACAATATGTCCCACAAACACGAGGGGGCCCGGCCCCCAAGTTCCCCATTTCACGCTCCAGGCCTTCCTTCCAGACTAGGGGACCCCACAACTCCAAAACTGGTTGTCTTCTACGGGCTTCGCTTGCACCACCACCCAACGTAAATTCTCCGGTTTCAGACGGAAAGTAGGTCAGCCAGTAGTGCACTTTTACCCACTTTTTTAATTGGGAGGGTTCCCCTACTAAAATAGAATACAGAAAAAAGTCGGTACCAACAAATCAAACCTCTCTACTGCGGGACTTTGGAAAAAACAACTCCTTTGCTTTGCGCATCTGAGAGCTGATCCGAGGATACGGTCTCCAAGTCCTTGCTGGTGCAGATGCAGACCACCTTGGACCCGCTCACGTTTCTCGGATTGGATTGGATCTGGGCCAGGCTGTCCTTTCGTAGGCTTTGTTTTTTGGTTGAGACGGCGGACGAATTTTGGTCCGGAATCCGTGATTGTGTGGTGGGGGAAAACTCAGATAGCTCGTGTTGTCCTTGGAAAGAATGACACGTTGGGGGTTGTCACTGAAACGTTTGGGCGGTTCATAGTTGTCGGAGCCACCGTTCTCTGTGATACCGAGGGAATCCCCTCTGAAGTGGCAACACTGTCGCAACTGTGGTGGTTGCTGGCTGCAACTGGGGCGTGCGTGGGAGAGATTTGGACCTGGCTGAAGAGTGCAGGAATGAGTTTGGGTAACCCCAGCGGCCCCAGCGGCGCAAATCTTGAGACGCAGGGTTTTACTTTGTAGTGGAAGCAGTGGTTGAGTTTATCTCAAGGAATGGTGTTGAAGGGTCGCCAACCGTAAACCGGCCCCTATTCTTGGACGCACCCATATGAGGGTATCTCGAGATGCCTTTGTTTGGAGCCTTTTGTAAGCCTAAAGGGCAGAAGTCAAGAGGGTCTAAATAGAATCGGACACCCTCATATCAGGGCGGTAGGCCCTTGTGCGAGGGCAATAGGCAACTTGTTTGGCCCCTGGCTACTGGAATTTCTTCACCAAGGCTGTTATGGCCTGATTACTTCCATCTTGGCTCAGTAGTGCCCTTTTACCCTTTTTGGGGGGAGGGTTCCTCTAGTAAAACAGACTACAGAAAAACGTGGGTACCCTTATTTTAGCCTCTCTACTGGAGGACCTAGTTGGGATAGCCTTAGACACGGGGTGGGTTCTCTATGGGGCCTCTGGATGGCACCCTTGGCCATTCCCTTTTTTTTGGGTTTGGTGTTGCCGATCTTCGCCCGGACTTCTGTCACCGCTTGGAAATCTCTCAGGGTTCTTGTATTACACCCTGGGATTACACCCTTGGGAAATGACCCAGAATGGTTCAAAATCACACGGTTTTATCCGGAAACGTGCCTAAATGGGGTCAATACCCAGTGGGTGTTGTCCCAGGGTGGAATACAAAAACCCTTAGAAAATCGTCAGCTTCCCCATTCTTTTCAGGGATCCTTCTTTCTAGAAGAGCAACCTGGTCATGGTCGTCCGGTTTTCTTCAGGCTCCTAGCAGAAGGGCTCCTCGCCCTTTTTTCCCCAAAGGAGCACCCCGCAGCCAGCTGCCAGCTCAAGCTCGCACCGCGAAGGTTCACCAGCAAAGCCTACACCATCACCATCGGCAAGACCACCAACCTCAGCTCTGTGCCCGGAAGCCAAGAGGTCGGCCCGTCGGCGCGGGAAGGCGCAAGTCCTTGCCCGACCTCTCACCCACTTGTTTGGTTTTTCGAGGGTTAAACTATTATAAAATAGACTACAGAAAAAAAATTGGTACCCTTATTCCAACCTCTCTACTGGAGGGCCTAGTCAAGCACCAAGAAAGGGTCCCGCATTTGTTTGTCACATGGCCAATGTTTGGGTCTTGCTGTTGCGTTCCTCGTCACCACGACCCTGTCACGCCAAAAGGACTGCCCACCAACTGGGTGACAAGGCTTTCAATCTGAGCTTCCTGGGCTTTGCACGTTGTGGGTCTGTACCATTCTAGTGGCAAGTCAAATGTCTGGATCGGTTCAATCTACTTTGGATCTAAGATTCAAAAATCTAGATCTTAAATCTTTAATCCAGTACGGGGCCCCCAAAATGCTTCAAAGCGCTTTCAAGATTCAGGAAAAAGAGTCCTGGGATGGGGCCCCAATCTTGATGCCACGAGAATGAAAACGCGGGCCCCAAGCTGGATTCAAGATTCTCCTGGGAATCTTGAATCCTGAATCCAAAAGTGCTTTAAAGGGCGTCAAAGCGTTTAGGGGCCCAGGCTGGATTCAGGGTTCCAGATTTGGAGTCCTGGGAATCTTGCATCTTGAATCTTGGATCTAAAAGTGCTTCAAAGCGCTTTAAAGCATTTTAGGTGGATAGAGGTGCGGTCAAATGTGCAAATGCAGGAATAGTTAGAAAGTAGATGGCAGAAATACTGTTACGTCAACTAAAGGGGATGACTAGCCAAACTGGGCTACAAGGGTGTGCCTTTTTTGAGGCTCGGTACCCATGTTGGGTTGGTTCAAGGGGAAGCCAACAGGAACCAGTTGCCATTTATGGGTTTTCTCAAAATGAAGGACCCCCCCTGTTCACCATATTAAAGGGAAACCAAAGGGACCCAACCATCTTTATAGCCTCTCCTATTTTGAGAAGCACCCATTTAGAGGGTTCCATATAGGTGTCAAAAATAGGGAGTGCCCTAAACTGAATGGTGTCCTTTCGTTTCCCTCACCCCCAAAACGGGTCGCCTCCAAAAACCTAGGTCCCCCAGCAATTGGCGCCCTCTCTTTTACCCACTTTTTTTGGTTGGTAGGGAAAACCCCCCACTAAAATAGACCGAAAAAAGTGGGTACCAACATATTCTAACCTCTCAAATTTGGAGGACCTAGAAGAAGAGGGCCCATATCCTTCGAGCCATGGGGCTCCGAGTGACCGAGGCACCCGGCCTTCATCTTCCCCTCCGCCTTCCAGGTGCCGCCGGACAGCCGGCGCCCCAGCCCCAAACCGCCCAAACCGCCCAAACCGCCCAAACCGCCCCCCGCCCCGGCTTTCAAGGTTTCCCCGCCGGAAAGTCGGCCGAAAACTCGTTTTGTTCGCCGAGGCGGCAGAAGGGTTTTTGACTTTTGAGGGAGACTCAAAGCCGAGTTTGAGGGTTGGATGCTACAGGAAGCAAGCCAGAACCCCATTTGGCTGGCTTCCTGTAGAAGTTCCTGTCCCGTAAATGGAAAGACCTGCTGCCTCTCAAATCCTCACCCAGATGTTTGCGTGAGGGAGCCCCCCGAAAAAGCATGGGTACGTGGGTGACTCTGTGAGACTGTGTCTGTGTGTCTCTGTGTCTCTGTGTCTCTGTGACTCTGTGTCTCTGTGTCTCTGTGTCTCTGTGTCTGTGTGTCTGTGTGTCTCTGTGTCTCTGTGACTCTGTGTCTCTGTGTCTCTGTGTCTCTGTGTCTCTGTGACTCTGTGTCTCTGTGACTCTGTGACTCAGTGTCTCTGTGTCTCTGTGTCTCTGTTTCTCTGCGTCTCTGTGACTCTGTGTCTCTGTGACTGTGTGTTTGTGTGTCTCTGAGTCTCTGTGTCTCTGTGTCTCTGTTTCTCTGTGTCTCTGTGTCTCTGTGTCTCTGTGTCTCTGTGTCTCTGTGTCTCTGTGTCTCTGTGTCTCTGTGTCTCTGTGTCTCTGTGTCTCTGTGTGTCTCTGTGTCTCTGTGTCTCTGTGTCTCTGTGTCTCTGTGTCTCTGTGTCTCTGTGTCTCTGTGTCTCTGTGTCTCTGTGTCTCTGTGTCTCTGTGTCTCTGTGTCTCTGTGTCTCTGTGTCTCTGTGTCTCTGTGTCTCTGTGTCTCTGTGTCTCTGTGTCTCTGTGTCTCTGTGTCTCTGTGTCTCTGTGTCTCTGTGTGTCTCTGTGTCTCTGTGTCTCTGTGTCTCTGTGTCTCTGTGTCTCTGTGTCTCTGTGTCTCTGTGTCTCTGTGTCTCTGTGTCTCTGTGTCTCTGTGTCTCTGTGTCTCTGTGTCTCTGTGTCTCTGTGTCTCTGTGTCTCTGTGTCTCTGTGTCTCTGTGTGTCTCTCTGTGTGTCTCTGTGTGTCTCTGTGTCTCTGTGTCTCTGTGTGTCTCTGTGTCTGTGTGTCTGTGTCTCTGTGTCTCTGTGTCTCTGTGTCTCTGTGTCTCTGTGTCTCTGTCTCTGTCTCTGTGTCTCTCTGTGTCTCTGTGTCTCTGTGTCTCTGTGTCTCTGTGTCTCTGTGTCTCTGTGTCTCTGTGTCTCTGTGTCTCTGTGTCTCTGTGTCTCTGTGTCTCTGTGTCTCTGTGTCTCTGTGTCTCTGTGTCTCTGTGTCTCTGTGTCTCTCTGTGTCTCTGTGTCTGTGTCTCTGTGTCTCTGTGTCTCTGTGTCTCTGTGTCTCTGTTTCTCTGTGTCTCTGTGTCTCTGTGTCTCTGTGTCTCTGTGTCTGTGTGTCTCTGCGTCTCTGTGTCTCTGTGTCTCTGTGTCTGTGTGTCTGTGTGTCTCTGTGTCTCTGTGACTCTGTGTCTCTGTGTCTCTGTGTCTCTGTGTCTCTGTGACTCTGTGTCTATGTGACTCTGTGTCTCTGTGTCTCTGTGACTCTGTGTCTCAGTGACTCTGTGTCTGTGTGTCTCTGCGTCTCTGTGTCTCTGTGTCTCTGTGGTCTCTGTGTCTCTGTGTCTCTGTGTCTTTGTGTCTCTGTGTCTCTGTTTCTCTGCGTCTCTGTGACTCTGTGTCTCTGTGACTGTGTGTCTGTGTGTCTCTGAGTCTCTGTGTCTCTGTGTCTCTGTGTCTCTGGTCTCTGTGACTCTGAGTCTCTGTGTCTCTGCGTCTCTGTGTCTGTGTGTCTCTGTGTCTGTGTGTCTGTGTGTCTCTGTGTCTCTGTGACTCTGTGTCTCTGTGTGTCTGTGTCTCTGTGTCTCTGTGTCTCTGTGACTCTCTCTCTCTCTCTCTGTGTTCGTCCGTGCGTGCGTGCGTGCGTGCGTGGGTGCGTGTGTGTGTGTGTGTGGTGTGGTGTGGTGTGGTGTAGTGTGTAGTGTGTAGTGTGTTGTGTTGTGTTGTGTTGTGTTGTAGTGTGCTGTGGTGTGGTGTGGTGTGCTGTGGTGTGGTGTGGTGTGGTGTGTGTTTGTGCCTGTGTGTGTGTTTGTGTGTGTGTGTGGGTGCGTGCGTGCGTGCGTGCGCGCGCGCGCGCGCGCGCGCGTGCGTGTGCGTGTGCGTGTGCGTGTGCGTGTGCGTGTGCGTGTGCGTGTGCGTGTGCGTGTGCGTGTCTGTGTCTGTGTCTGTGTCTGTGTCTGTGTCTGTGTCTGTGTCTGTGTCTGTGTCTGTGTCTGTGTCTGTGTCTGTGTCTGTGTCTGTGTCTGTGTCTGTGTCTGTGTCTGTGTCTGTGTCTGTGTCTGTGTCTGTGTCTCTCTGTCTGTGTCTGTGTCTGTGTCTCTCTGTCTGTGTCTGTGTCTCTCTGTGTGTGTCTGTGTCTCTTTGTCTGTGTCTCTCTGTGTGTGTCTCTCTGTGTGTGCCTCTCTGTGTGTGTCTCTCTGTGTGTGTTTCTCTGTGTGTGTGTGTGTGCGTGTGTGTTTTTGAGTGCCTCAAAAACAATTTGCTTTAAAGGGAAGCCAGACGGAAAGCCACAATTCTTTGGTTACATTGACTTTGGCGGCTGAAAGTGAACTGGCTGACATTCATGGAGCAGGTGTCATGAAGGATTCTTTCGTGGGGAGTTCATAGTTTGAGTTCGTTTATTTGTCTGAGGGAGTTTATTTTTCATTCCGCGTGATTGGGAGTTTACATGAAATGATCAGTGCTATTGCCATCCTGGGTGGCTTGGCGGTTCAAATGGCTGGTCAAAAAATAGGGCAACCCCAAAATGGCTTGCCCTGGCAAGTGGAAACGTAGCCTAAAATCTGCGGTCCCCTGGTGGTTTAAGTTTGACCCGTACCTAAATCCCCGACCCTTTCCCGGGTCAGAAGTGCCCATTTCTGTGTCGGTCATTTTCTACCTAAGATCTAAAAGTATGAGCTTGCAAGAAACCAGGCGGGAACCGACCTCTCAAGTGGCCCAAAAAATCCTTGACCGTTTGGGGTGTCCCAGGGCGAACTGGAATAAGGCATGGGACACGTGATCTTTTTTCACCGGGGGGGACCCTCCACAGCATTGGCGCTTCGGTCTTCAAAGGACGCCCCATCTTTCTAGCTTCCTTTGGATTCTTGACCTCAAACAGGTCAACCAACAGGGGTGTTAATTCTTTTTGTACCTTTCGGGTCAGTGGCTGCAACTGGGTAAGGGTTGCAGCTTTGCCAACGTCTTTCGGACAGGTTCGCCGGCACACCCTCGCCTGAAGAGTTTTACAGGTTGGATCTGCCAAATGGCACAAAGAGCTGTGAATCAAAAAAGCTAGGATCTTAGGTCCACACAATCCAGCAAGAACTGTGACTGAGAAAAGCTGTGACCGCAATTTCCGGAGATCCTTTCTGGTCGAGTGAAATTCGAACTCCACTCGACAAATCCTGGAGGTCGCGACACTCCCACAGCGACCAACCCCTTCACGCGCTTCGCCTACCTCTACGTGGAGTATCTGAAGAACATCTATGACTGGTCGGACAGCGCGGGGCCCGGCTCTTCGATCTGTCTCGAAGGCTGCGTAGCAAGAGGGGGGACGAAAGTGATCACCCTCTGAATGGAATATGGCTAGGAGTTTTAATGGGGAACCCCCCCCCAAATGGTTGGTGGACATAAATCCCCACCTAAATGATGTCCACCAGAGGGCCCCCCATTAACATTCAGACCCATTTTGCAATTCATGAACAAAAACGTAGGCAGTCCCTGACCAATCTACAATTGCGGGGGGTGCGGCCTGGTAATTTACCATCATGTTCTACCAGTAGAGCCAGTGAAGCCAATTGGCGGAAGTGTCAAACGTATCAAAACTATAGCTTATGTTCTCTTTCTTTTTCTCGTTATATTTATTGTCTTTATCTCTCTCTTCTTTATGTTTGTCTTCTTTATCTTTCTCTTTGTCTTTCTCTTCTCCTTCCTTTTCTCTTTCTCTTTCTCTTCTTTCCGCGTCTCTTTCTCTTTCTGTGTCTTGCTCTTTCCTTTCTTTGCCGCAATGGTTTGCCCGAAGATCCACCAGTCTCTTTGGAAGTCGCCGAGGTTCAAGAACAAACATGCAAGCCGTGGTTGCTTTGAACATGGAACCCAGCATGTTTTTTTGTTGGTGTTTTTGGGTGTTGAGGGTGACGACCACATCAACCACATCAAATGTTATGGTTTTAAGGTTGTCACCCAACGTGATGTTTTTGAACAGTGGCAGTGGGTGAGGTTGTTGAGCTTGTTTCTCCCCATCCAAGTGGCCGGAACTGGGCCAAGTTGCCTACCCTTTGGCTAGGGCATGCTGCTGTAGCGGAAGGTATCGCTGACACCGACGTGTTGGATCAGATTGGAACAGCAAGCACATACTTCACTGAGACCTGCCAAGGTTGCAATCAGGCCCAGATTCTGAGTAAATGAATAGATGTAGTTGAGAGGGTGGGAAACTAGTTTTTGGCCCATTTGCCATCTCAGACACGCTGCTAAGTCCATTGGGGCATCGAAACATGTCCGCAGCGCGTGTCACTCAGCGCGGCTTTAAAGCCATTCAAGTTGTGAGACCTACTGTGGACGGAAATCCATTTCGCACCACCTAAGAAGCCGTGGAACGATGGTTCCCCTGCAACTACCAATGGTTTTACCAATAAGCAATGGTTTTTCATGGTTTCAGAGTGGTCCAGGATTTCGTCCATCCACAGTACCTTTGTCCAGGCTTGAATTGTACCATTTTCGGTGAACTCGCCGAAAACCCTTACTTCCAGTTCTTGAAGTATAATCAGTGCAGCTTGAATATGCGCAACGGGGCGCATCTTTGGCGAACCCGTTGTGTTCCAACTCCGAGACCGAAAGCCATGGTTCTTCGCGAAGGTCATCATACTCTCCCAACACAGCGTACAGAGGACTTTTGAGGATACTCTGGCACAGCTACGTTGGGCCGGGTAAGTTCCTAGGGAAGTGAGCGTCACTAGAGGCCCCCGGAAACAGATCCCGCCACTGTCAATCACTCTTTTTGAGCTCTGAATCAGATGGGTTGGCGAACACTTGGGGCACCCTGACCCTTTTTCAGGCTGGCCGGAAGAGAAGCCAACAGGACAACTAGCATTTTGGGGTCCCCCCAGATTGACTCACACCCATACAGCTGAGGCAACCCACTGTCCACAGAGAACCAGCTCATCACCCTCCACGTGCTCAAGGCTCTGAATCGCGACCTCTCAGTTGGGGCTCATTTGTTGGGTACTCCGCCAAACCCTGTTGCCCTCATTTGGCGTTTGCGGCACATTGGAGCAGTATCCATGTTGTTCCGTCTTCCGAGGTGGTTCCAAGAGCCTTTCATTCTGTGGATGGACGAAATCCATTTCGCACCACCTAAGAAACCCTGGAATTATGATTCCAATGAAAACACCAACAAACAATGGTTTCAACCGTGGTTTCTTAGGTGGTGCGAAATGGATTTCGTCCATCCACAGTATCAGCATTGCCTTGGGGCCTGTGGCGCTCCTATCAGCACAACCTGCCAGTGCCAAATTGCCGCTTCCCCCCACCTTCCCCTGTTCGAAAATGAGCGTCCGAGTCCAGTTTGCAACTTTGCCTTGGACGAAAGCGGGGCAAGCTGGTTGGGGGAGTGTCGGGATCCCATCTTCAGGTCCGCTGAAGCAGTCTGTTTCCAATCGGTTGCCTGAAGTTAGTGCCGTCTAGGACTCCTAGGGGCGACCGTCAGACCGTCAGACCGTCCCCCATAAAGACGCCAGTTAGGTGACAATGGTGACACAAGTTCGGCGGGTCACTGCCAGTCGTTAGGGATTGTGATCCTTTGCGTTTTGGGGATGCTCGTTGATTGGGGGCTGCGACGTGCACTGTGGAACCTACAATCCAAAAGTCTCATGCAACCAAAGCTGCCAGGACGCGTGTTCAGGGTTGCCAAACCCGAAGGGTGGGACAATTTGTTTTTTTGTTTTTGTTTTTTTTTTTTTGTGGTTTCCTTTTACCGGGCTATATTTTGACCCCAACATATCGATCGGGTCGAAGGGGAGACCCAAAAATACGAAAATAGGGGACGCGACAATATCCCTGAGGCCCAAACTCCACCCAAATAGAAGGCGTGAACTCAGCCGTAGGAAACCATGAAAAAAAGGGGTTGGAGAGGAGAGGTGATGGAGAGGTTATGTTGATCGTGGCTTTTGAAGAAGTCAGCGGTGGGTGTGCCAGCTGCTGACTTGCTGGTTTCCCTTCAAAGACTCAAAGTGAAGAGCAAAGAAGTGAGAGAGCGAGAGCGAGAGTGAGAGAGGGAGAGAGACACAAAACGAAAATCACAAACAGAACCCGAATCACAAACCAAGACAGAACACAGAAAGGAAAGGAAAGGAAGAAAGGAAGAAAGGAAGAACGGAAGAGCGGCAGAATCCATCAAAAGAGACAGAAAGAAAGAAAAGAAAAGAAAGAAAGAAAGAAAGAAAGAAAGAACGAAAGAAAGAAAGAAAGAAAGAAAAGAAAGAAAGAAAGAAAGAAAGAAAGAAAGAAAGAAACAGAACAATCAATGAGGAAGGACAGTTAATAACAACACAATAAATACAGAAACTAGAGACACGAAGAAAGCCATCAAGAAAGAAAGAAGAAACAACAACATCAAGGCAGGCAGGAAGCGCAAGAAGGGCTTTTCATGGCCGATCTTTGGAGAAGCTCAGTGGAGTATGTATTCGGTGAACTTTGTTTGCAGCTATGGTTTTTAAGGAGAATCTAAGGGCCATAGGTGTCCTTTTTGGTTGTTTTGGTCGAAAAATAGGTTGGGCGATTCCTGGTTTACCTGGTGGTTGTTTTCATTTATCAGGGAACCCCATCTATTTCCCCTAAAAGCAGAATTAGCTCCCCTTTTTGATTTTTTGTTTTTTGGGGTCCCTTTGTTTTCCACTAACCAGGCCAAAAAGATATTTTTTTGCCGGGGTCCTAATTCCAGCCATGTGGATCGTGTGGTCCTCCCTGTGCCACCAGAGGCTTTCGGCGCTTTCGCGTCGCTTTCGCGTCGCCAGGGCAGCACTCTGGAGCTGGATGAGAGCAGCTCCCCCGAGTGGATCCGGATCTTTGCGGACACCAGCCTCTTCTCCAACGCTGGGGACCAAAGGACCAACCCAAAAACCGTGGAAGGGTCAAACCGGTTTTGGTTTCCCCCCCAGAAAAGATGATCTTAAGATTCCATCAAGCCTAGGTCCTCCAGCAATTGGTGCCCGACCTCTCACCCGACTTTTTGGTAGTTTGAGGGTTCCCCTACTAAGATAGAAACCATCGCAGTGGTGTGTCTAGTGACAGGTGACTCGCTGGCTGATGCTTTTTGCGGCGTCTGGGGATTCGCGCTCCAGGTGAGGCTGCGCAACTAGGTCCCCAGGCGCCCGACCTCTCACCCACTTTTTTGGTTGGGGAGGGTTCTAGTAAAATCGACTACAGAAAAATAAGTTGGTACCGTATTTTATCCTGATTCTACAGAACAAAAATCGGGTATCCTTATTCTAATCTCTCAAATCTGGAGGAAGGCACAGTCGACACCTCCGCGGAGTCAGCCGGGTGTTTTCGCGCAGTCCGTGGCTTCGATGGTGGGCCTACGGCCCTTTTTTTGTGGGGGGGGAAGCCGAGACATTTTACTGGGGTCATCATTTTGGCTGTTTCTGGTTCTCAAAGTCAGAAAATGGTTGGTTGTTTCCCTTTAGCCCACCGCTTAGGGGGTGACTTTGATCATGGTACAATAATGAGGCCAGTTCTTGGGGTTCCGAGGCACCCCAAAAGACAAACCCCCTTCCTGCGGCAGCTGAACAGAACTGGGTGCTTGGGCCCACAAAAGCTGGCCGGTCCGTGGTTTTCGGGCCAGTGAGTTGAAGATGGTTTCCACCAGCAGAGAATAAGGGGATACAACTATTATGCAGCCAATTTTGGAGGTGCGGGTATCATGGACGCTTTTGTGACATCCTTCGAGATAAATTCAAGTGGGCCGCATAAACCATTTTTCTCTCGGCAGTGGAAACCCTAATATCAAAGAGACATGGTCTTTGGTGTGACCGAATCGTCCGTTGGAGACACATTTCGTTTCCATTGAACCTACAAAAGGTACAAACGCCTTTTGCTCAGGGAAAAGCAACCAGCTACTCAGAGGGCTTCAGATGGCTTGCCTCAAAATATGGGCGCCCTACTGTGGACGATCGATATGTTTTTCCCTTCTCAACAAAAACAAAAAACCAAAACCCGCGAGCCTCAACACGCCAAACTCCCCCCCCCCCCCCCCTCCCCCCTGCGGCCCTGGCACGCGGCCGAGGTCGTGTGCCTCTTCTGGGACCGCTTCGCCGCGGGCACCGCCGGGGGCCGTTGGCGCGGCACCCGGCATCCGCTTGGCGCCGACGGGAAACGCGGCGCGAATTTTGGGTCAATGGTCCCAAGTACCTCAGCTCAAAAGTTGAGGTAATTATTTTTGATGGAGCTGTGTTGTAGCCGCCTTTCTTTTGAGAGCTTTGAGGTCATTACCTCAGCTCTAGAAACCAGCAAAGTAGAACTGGGTCAAAGGATGCGATAGGCCGCCGCAGTCTTTTTTCTCAGGGTGGGACGACAATAATTAGCTGTGTCCAGGTTCAAGAGTCACCCAAGTCTCTTCCGCTGATGTAGCGGTTCCCTTTGTAAGGCCGGTTTTGGGAGGTATCTTTAAAGAAAACCCGTCATGTTTCTCCTTTTGCTTGTTTTACGTATCAGGTGTTCGGCCAGCAACTTGAGGTTGCTCCTGGTGCAGTGTTTCGGAACATGCGGATCCCTGTTTGGAAGCGGCCTTTCGAGGGGTACCTTCCATTTCCATTCTTTCCAGGGATCCTTCTTTCTAGAAAAACCTCCGGAATCGGGAAAATGGCGGTCGGTTTCTGAAAAGAGCGATGGTTGAAAAGATTGTGGAATCAACCCCCAGAGCCTTGAATGACCCAAACCGGAAACTGCCCCGTTTTGAAGCCCGATGTCCCACGACCATAGCACCTGTTTCTGAAGTTCCAGGGGTTGGGCTCGGTCAGGCTACGCTTGAACGGTGCTGAAGGAAGCACAGGTCTGCTAGACACATTTAGAAGCTCCTTTCCTTTCCGAAGGTATTGATTTGTTGGGGCCTGTTTGGCCCCTTGGTCCCAACTCAAAATTGAGAACTTGTCAAGTGAAGGCCTATCACTTGTATCTTCCTTGTCGGTGTTTTTGTTGGACAGACTTCAAATGAGCAAGTCATGGTTTCCTACAGCATTTAAGCGGCTTTGTTTTAAGCGGCTTTGTTGAAGCATTAGACGCTAAATCTACTGTGTGTCCTTTGCCAGGTATGATGTTAACACCACATTGTTGAATGCTCGAGATCAGATACTTCGAACAGAGGTTCCGCAGGCTGCAACCCTTTCTTTCAAGATGCCCTGTATGCGTTCGGCTCGCAGTCTTGTTCCCACAGAGGTCCCTACATTTCCGCGGGGGGTTTTCAACAGCACCTTTTAGAGCCAATTCAACGTTGCCCATTGGCAGGATGTTTCCAGGCGGCATATTGAGAACTTTGTGCCAGAAATGTCAAACCTCGACAAGACTTTGACCAGGGAGCTAGGATTCCATCTTGGCGATTTCCGCAAAGCCCAGGTCGGTTTTGCCCCAAAAACCGGGAGGAACGGGGGGAGGTGACGCAAGGAATCAGAGCCTCGAAGAAAATCAAGTTAGTTTGGTTTCTGCTTGTTTTTTTCTCCTGTTACCAGAGATACCCTTTCGCCAGTAGCAACCTGGGTTTGCAAAGAGGTCCCAAGCTGCAAAGACTGTCCTAGTCATTTCAAACCATCCTGTGATTCTGATCAAAGAGCGTCGGAATAGGGCGTCGGGGTAGGGGTGGGATTGCCGAGTAGCGGCTCCAACAAGCAACAGTCAAGTTTATTGCAAAGACAGGCCAAGTACCCGACACTCAGTCCAGTTGTTCAGCGGCACCACTTCGAATCCCTTTTTGTTTGGCGGGGTTGGGACCCACAAAGAATGGTCGTCCCCTGTTCTGGCTGGTGGTTGGAAGGGAGCCTCACAAATGGCGACATTCTGCAGGTCTTCCACGGGTGTGGTCAACGACGACACGGGTTGCATCACGCCGCTGGGCAACAAAACGACCCCTTTAAATGGCGGAAACCACCAAAATAGCAGAAAAACAAAGCCACAAACCATGCGGTGGGAACGGCTGCAGGCCGGGTTCCTTCGATTTGTGGTTTCTGAGGGCCCTGAATAGGGGGTGTTTCCTTCAAAAGTGGCAGTTTCAGTGGAGCCAACCAGTAAAATCATTGACTTGAACATTGAAGACCAAAAGACCGTCCCACATTCATATCGCCTCTTTCTACTCAGGTCAAGCTTGGATTTGTTGTTTGTGTATAGTGGCGGCAGTAGCTGAGCTACAATTTTTTCCAAGCAGTGAACGCTCCTGGGATTTGTTAAGTTTTCCATCCGCAGGACTTGAAGCAGGGGCAGGGGTGGTAAACCACACGGAGTTGGGTTTCTTTGTCTTTCTGTTCGGGCGTACGCTTTCGAAATTGACAAGCAGACCTGATTGAGGCCTTGCAAAGGGGATCCTAACGGGGGGGGGGTCATTGCGGATGGGGTGGCTTGGGGTTTCCAACCCCAGTCAACCACCTGCTGAATAGGTCAACTAACCCCGAACCATTTGGTGAAATCACCCACTTGCGTGATAATAGGTTCAACATCCGAATCCGAGAATCATGTTAGTTGGTGGGAGGGTATCGTTTGCGGGTTATTTCAAGCAGGATTCCTTTTTGATTACCCCAAGTTAGACTTAAACCAAGGGGTGGTGTATTGTCCTGAACGGAGAACGGGTTTAGGTCCACCTTGATCATAAAAAGGGAACCCTAATTTCAAAGCTACTCACCCATTTCGGGTTCCCATGTGGAGTAAAAACCATCTTCCTTGTCTGGGTGCCATTGAAGCGTGACGCCATCAAGCGACCGGGTGACCGGTGTGCCTTCAGCGCAGCTTAATGGAGCCTTCTCTCGCTGGGCCGAAGCACACCAGCCACACACTGTGAGCGCTGAAGCCTCGGCGAAGACAAGACCTGCCTTTCAAGCCACGCAGAGAGCGGAAGGCGTTGGTGACTGGAGTGGAAGGCGTTGCTGGGTCCTTCAACGCGTCCATAAGCCAGGATCTGATAAACGCAGAGTTCCTGTCTGAGTGGCAGAAGCCCCGTCGGGTGCGCATCATTCAGTTCACCGAGCTGTCCAGTACTAAGCAGCGCACTGCAAGTCAAGGGCACCCGGAGCGTTTGGCAAAACCAAAGAAACAGGGGACAGAAAAAGGGAACCCTGTCCCAAACAGGGGGAAACGAGGATGCTTCCCCAAGACTTCAGGGAGCAGGGATCTGCAATTTCTGTTCATGTGTTGATGATTCTGAGGTCGTTCTTTGCATTTCCAGGGGCCCGGATTGGCTTTACCGTAAAATCGTAAATGGGGCTGACCCAAACTACCCTGCGGCCTGATGGCAAACGAGAGAAATATTGGGACCCTGTCCCATATCGCACATAGCAACCCCCTTTGCAGTGGTAAAGTTGAGGGTGATTTCCACAGTTATGGTCCATTTTACAAATCCCCAGGGTTGGTGTCAAAATAAAGGAACCTCCCCAAAATGGGCTTCGGGATCTTTTTGGTTTAAGATGTTTAGCCCCGAACAGAGGTGATTTCACAACCATGGACCCCTTGTCCACCGAAAGGGTCGGCTCTTCTTTCCAGTTGGATCCCCAGACCCTCTCTCGTCCTTGCGCGGCAAGCTCTTTTTGGAGCCTCAGCCCTGATACAAACTCAAGGCACCCGCAATCGCCAGTCTCAGAATTTTCAGAATCGCAAGTTTTGTCCAGAACGTGTTTTTTTTTCTCCGCAGCAGAACTCTTTTTTTGTGTTTTTTCCCACAGCAAAAAGAACCGGACTTCTGGGGTGGAGCCATGGGGTGATGGGGTGATCGAGGTCTCATCTTACGGACTTCGGCATCTTCATGGACGGCCGCGTGCCGGACGGCTACGGCCTCGTGGAAGCGGCCACCCACTGGGAACGGGAGGCGCGTTGAGCGAGAGCCCGAGAGCCGTGCGCCGGAAGCGCCTTGGAGCCCGGGTTTTCGGCGAACCCATCTTTTGCGCGTCTTTGGGTGACAAGATGAGACCTTTGAGGCCGATTTTTTGATTGGGTACTTTTGATTCTCCTTGAAAAGCCTCAAAAACAGTGTCCCCTCACAAAAAGACACATCCATCCGTTGTGGCTTCGTGGGGTATGTCCATTTAGGGCCTGTCCCTTTCTTGTGGTGACAAACACTTCGGTTTGTTGGGGGGACTTGAGGCAAACCCATTTGTCCGCTTCTTTGGGTGATGACTGTTCAGGTGGTGTTCGAAGAGGACCGAGGTCATTGATGCGCAGGCACTGTGTTGCCACCTACGCCCATAGGCTTGGTGTTTTATTCGAGGTATATAATATGGCAATGCAAACTGGCCTCTACGCGTCCATGGATCGAGGTGGGAACTTATTCTAACCTCTCTACTGGAGGATCTAGTCAACCATCGTGCCTATGAGGAACACCAGCCCTGCCTCGGTTTCTCAAAGAACTTGGATTCCTGGAAATGCTTGGAAGTCACCACTTGAAAGTTGGAGAAGAAGAACCGCATTTCATGGGTGGTTCCCTTTTGGTTTGCCTAGGTAACTCCCCTGATCAACATGGAGCCCAAAGAGGTCCCCTTAAAGGAGACACCAATGAAGGCGTGTGTTTGTTGTCTTCTCCGTTTTTGTTCTTCTTCTTTTTTTTGTCTAATATATATATATATATATATAAATAATAAAAATACACAATCATAGTAATAATAATAACCTGCGGGGTCTTTATTTGACCTGTTGCCGGGGCTTGGGGTTTCTCTACTTTTGGTCAGGAAAAACCATGCCCGGCACTCGAAAAGGGCGTACCATGTGCATTCCTTGCTTGATGTTCTTCCCTTCAACGGTCCCGGCGCCACTGTACAGGTCCCCCGCGATTTCTGCGAAAAGAAATGTGACGGGTGGGTATAGTTCGAGCCCACCCTTGATGCAGGTCCTTTTGGGGGATTCCCTCAAATCCAGTTTGAGAGTTGCTTTCCAGTTTGCCCAGCTCCTTTGCCAGAGGTTTCGTCGTACTGCGCTGGCTGGGACTCCGCAGGTCTGGGTCAGCAACTGCGTGGGCTGCGGGGACGAGAGCAACCTCACCGTGGTCGCGGCCGCGGCCCCGGATCGGCGGATCGAGTCGATCGGCGCAGTCCGGAGACCGTTGGGCGCCGGCCCGGCGGTGCACTCGTCTCCAGGACCCGTTGAAACTGGGTTCGCCAGGTCCCCCACTTTGCTGCATTTTGCCAAAGGAGGTTAGGACTTTCACTTTTGGCCAACTTAGTTGGGTTTTCCCCAATTAAACCACGAAAAGTTGAGAACTTTTGGCAGGGGAGCAGAAAGCACAGCTAGGTGCCCTTTCTCACCTTTTTTTGGGTGTTTTAGGGTTCCCCTAGTAAAATAGACTGCAGAAAAAAGTGGGTATCAACAGATTCTAACCTCTCTACTGGAGGACCTAGGTTTAGGAACCCGTCCACTTGCGCTCCCCTTTTGCAGATGAGCAATAGGGCGCTTGAGAGTTCATCACTGGAGACTTGCCCATTAGTACAGGCTTGAGTGAGGCCTATCAAAAAGGCGGTTCACCCAGATTTGTGAAGGGCCTGAATGGTGTTGAGCGCTCAGGTTGAATGATGAGAGTGCCTAGCAAATGATTAAATGCTTGCGAAAATATTGAGATTTAGACTTGGTGGCTCCCAGACCCACTAAAAGTTAAACTTTTAGCCGGGGATCTGAGAGGACCCCAGTAGAGTCTTGCTGCAACTACCAGCTTCAAAATCTACAGCCCGCCGGTGAAGCAAAGCCCCGGCGTCACGGAACTGTTTCGGGGTGTGTTTGGGGCACGTCCATAAACACACCAAGCTGCTCCGGGCCAGTTTTAGTCGGGTTGCGTGGTGTTCGGAGCAGGTTGGGGGGTCCAAAACCAGGAAAGGGGTGTCAAGGAGCTGCAACTCTCTCATGATTTGCCGATTTCTCGCCTTCGCAGCAACCCGGCAAGAACAGTCCCGTGATGAAGGCAAAATTTCCGGCCCGAGCAATTATCCGGTCTCCTGTTATGCCAAACTGGTCTGTCAAAGTGGCGAAAGGACTGCCTAAAGGGTCCAATGGGATGCGCACTCCTCAACCAATATTTTCTTCGTAGGACAATCATGTCTTCTATTTTCCGTCACTACTGGAAATGATGTGAATTTCCCAGAAAACTTCAGCAGAGGATGTGTGCCATTATTTGGCCTCGACCAAAGCTTTGGTTTGCCCCACAGTGTTCGGTCTCAGGTGAGCCACAATCAAAACCCGGGTAGATGAAGGTTAGTAAGGGACGATCCCAACCATAAAAAAATACTGCGGATATCCGCCTTAATTCTTGAAGCATGGTTCTTGGATTACGACCATTTTGGTACGGGGTTTTGATTGTGACTCACCTGGTGGTACGACAAAAGCTGGCTGAAGGTCCCTCGAGGATTCTGAAACATTGAGGTGGGGTTCCCTTATGACCCGTGCCGAATGTCTGGAACCCACCGGGTGTTGATTGTGACTCAGGTGCTAGGCATGTTGCTCTTCGCTCTGATCTTGTTGATCCTGCTGACCTACACCTTGGATGAGCACCGGGCACAGTCACCTCAAGTCGGGGCTGTGCTTTTACTCGGTCCCCCAGTAGTGCCCTGTTACCCTTTCTTGGGGGAGGGTTCCCCTACTAAAATAGACTACAGAAAAAAGGGTACCCTTATTCTAACCTCTCTACTGGAGGACCTAGTTTAGGCTAGATGGTTTAAGGTTGGGTTCAAAGGGAACTAAGCTGAACACCACCACCATTTTAGGGGTACCCCTATGTTGACACCAGTTTGTCTTGGCGGTTCTTTGATGTTTGGCTGCGCTTTGTCTTGGTCGCTTCTTGGCGCGGGTGGATTTGCCAGCCATCCCACTAGCTCCAACTGCAACTCCAATCAACCCAAGTGAGCCTAAATCAAAACCCGGGTAGATGAAGGTTAGTAGGGGAAAGTCCCAGCCAGAATTAGTTGCGGCCGCCTTCTTGATATTTAAAAGGTTCTGGGTAGACCAGTTTAATACCGGGTTTTGATTGTGAAGCCAAGTTTAGTCAACCAGCGGTTTATTTGGAAGGGACACGAAGGACGAGCTCGAAATGTCCCATGTCCCACGATGTCCCACGTCCTAGATCGGAACACAACATGCCTGTGGTCAAAAGACCTGCTTTCTTGGGGTTGGTAGGGATGGTCATCGACCCATCATGGCGGCTTCAGACAACCATGGCAAGGATTCTGTGGTCTTTTTTGTAGTACACCCTGGGATTACACCCTTAGAAAATGACCCAGAATGGTTCAAAATAACACGGTTTTATCCGGAAATGTGCCTAAATGGGGTCAATACCCTGTGGGTGTATTTCCAGGGTGGAATACAAAAGCCCTTTGACCATGGCTCGTGTGTTGGCCGTTTCGGTTCGCCTTTGGGTTCCCGAGGTCCCAAAGGACGCTGCTGGCTCAGAACAAGGTGAAGTCTCGCTACTACTACGACGGCAACGGCATCAACTCGCCGGGGCACCCGAAGATGTCTGAGCTGAAGCCGGAGTGGGGTTTTATTGGGGGATGTGGGATTGCCTCAAAATGGGGAACCCCAAAATTGGTGGTGCTCCTTTTGTTCCCCTTTCAAGCGCCGAAAAACATATATCTAAAATATAACCTACATATAAAAGAGTCTCGTCCGCCCAAGACCAGTCAATACTTCAGGGCGCAGGCCACTCAAGTGGTACCATCCGAGCGGTCCCCTGAGTGAGCGTGGGCTCACTGCTTAATGGGAAGCCAGGTGATGAAGAAAACCCCTGATGAACGGGGTCGTACCATTGCAGATTTGTTTTTCTTCCGAAAACAAGCTTTCCGGCTTCTGTGAGAGTCGGATCATTGCGGGGGACGCTACCAATTAAGAGTGGTTCCCCTATCTTTGCGGGTTCTCTGCTTAATGTCCTCTGGACGAATCCAAAGTTAACATGAGCCTGTGTGTCAGCAAGTTGGGCTGCTGAGCCGTGCTTGCAAACCAAAGCAAACGATTTCTACCTCGCATGCTCTCCCGGTGCTATCCTGACAGTCACTCTCCATTGCAGCTTTTTTTTGGTTCGGGTGGAAGGGGAATGGCGTGATGCAACGGGAGTTGTATTCATCTGCCTGCTTTTGGCTCTTGGTCTGGGGTCCATGAAGATCTGATCCTGCAGTTTGGCTTCTGGGCATTGTATGGGCATGTGCGTTCTGAGGTATCCGTCTTTGTGTTGCTTTCACGAGAAACGTGTCCAGTGAAAGCAACAAGAACACCCACTCTTCGTTCGGGGGATCTCTACTGTGGATGGACGAAATCCTGCACCACCTAAGAAACCCTGGAATGATGATTCCCCTGTAAGTACCAGCAAGCAATGGTTTCAACCATGGTTTCATTTCGTGGTGCGGTTTCGGATTTCGCAACCATCCACAGCATCATGACACCTAGCTTCTGTTTTTCCGCAGCTTGAAAAATCCGCCGGTGGATTCCACCCAGAAGCTCCTGAGAGAACTTTGGTTCCTGGGATCGCAGCGTCTGAGAATCGTGCCCGCCAGTTCCTGAAGACGTCTCGCTGGGTTTCAGGTGGCACCGGCCCAATCTACGCCTGGGATTACATGGGGGAGTTGCCACATTGGGGTCATTTAGAGACGAAGCTTCCATGTCACAAGTTTGTGTGTTCCAAGGTTTGAAGGGTGTAGTCCCATGATGCAACAGCCCTCTGGCGCACTTTGCCATGAGTTGCTTTCTGGGTGTTCAATGTGACTTCTTGGCGCCTTTCTTCGCGTTCGGCCTCAGAGAAAAGGATCCATTTTTTTGTTCTTGCTGGTCATAGCCTTCACTTTCACGAGGCGTTTCACATGGTTTCCACCCCTAACCCGAAAACCCGAAGCTAGCTTTAGGGGTTCAATGGGATATATTGCCACAATACACCAGGACGCAGTTTTTGTTCCTCCTCGTTGGGCGAAACCTGGTTGCCCTTAGACACGCAACCAGGGCGTGAGTGACAGCTGACACGCAACTCGCGGATCACATCGGCTTGCTTCAAGTCATGGTGTTTCACCGCGCAGGCCCAGCGAATCCGCATGTGTAAATTGCCCCATGTACGAAGGTATGTTCACCAGAGCCGCAGGGGGATTTTTTCTCTTCGATTCCGAGGTGTAGCCATTGTTTGTGTATGCTTTGTCTACCCCAGGAAACCATTTTGGAATGGCCTGTCTGCGAAGGTCCGCTCAGGGGCCCTTCGGCTCCTGTGCTTGCCGCTTGCCCGCTTGCCCCGCATCGTGTCCGAAACATGTTGAGAGCAACATGATGCTTTGCCCTGCCTCTTGACTTCAACTGGTCCCCCACAAGGCTGCTCCGGGAAATGCGATTAGCGGGCATTCCAATCTACTTCTCATTGTTTGTTGACCCCAGTCACTTGTGCAGTACTTTTCGTGCATGACATGTTTTGTTTGCGGTTGCAAAGGGGACTCAAAGACAAGCCAGCCATTCTGGGAAGCTCCCCAATTTCACGGAAGTCGCCGCCTTTCTGTGTGGGCGGGCGGCACATGCTTGGGCAACAAATCCACCTAGGCCCATGAGTATCGACGATCCCGTCGCCTACCAGTACGGCGACGGTGGGCTGTGCTCGTTGCTGAAAGATGGGTTTGTCTCCAAATTGGGAATCCAACAAGGTGGTATCCCATTGCAGCCCCCGAGAACCCTCGAACACATTTGCTCATCCACAACGTCCTCCAAGTTGCTGGCATTTGAGAAATGGATAAGATTGACCATCATCTACTGGTAGGCAAACTGAATTATCATTTGGGCATGGGGCGGGCTAGCATGGTCCAGCTGGGGGACGCAATGAAGATTGTGGCGTTGATTCGTCTCAAAATTGCATGCTCTTTCGGGTTGGTGTTCAGCGAGAAACCGAAAGGAAGCAAACCAGATCTAGGAGTCCAAATTTGATACGCCCCCATCACATACTCTTCTTTGTTCCTTTGTTTAGCAACCACTTGCTCCTATGATCATGACTTTGTTTGGCCGCAACGTATTCCACCAGCCCGCAAGAATTATACAGGCCCTTTCTCGCGATCTGTCAGATTTCACAGAGACTGAGCCTCAAAACGGATTTGTCCAGGTCGAATGGGAGCACCCCTGTTTCCGGGATCCCGCCGGCTTAGTCACCCTTGTTCAAAGCGTTACAGGGAATTTACTGCCTAGGTCCCCCAGTAGTGCCCTTCTCTCCCCTTTTTTGGGGGAGGGTTCCCCTACTAAAAATAGACAAAACCGAAAAAAAGTTGGTACCCTGATTCTAACCTCTCTAATTTGGAGGACCTAGCTGCTCAACCGCTAACTGGGGATAAGCCTATAAGATATAAGCTAGGCCCCAGTTTCAGGGGTCGTGCAGCAGCCCCAAGTCTCCGGTGATCCAAAGATTTGCCGCTTCTGCCAGGGCCGCTCTTCATGCTGTGGCTGGGCACGCTTTGGAACGTGGCCTGCGTCTCATAGTCTCAGAGTCTCAGAGCTCCGGTCCAGCAGCCAGCGGCCGCCTTTCTAAAACGCCTGCCATGGTGCGTTTGGGAGTGTTTTGGGACGGGCGAGAAGGGGGGGGAAGTCACTACATTCCCCACAAAGAGGACTCAACATATTTTCGGCTCGTCTCTTGGGGAGACGAATCATATTGATGGCCCATATGACATACGGACGTGTCTTTTGGAGTCTCGGTACTCTTTGTGAGGTGGTTTGAAAGGAAACCGGGACGCTAAAAGGGCAAAAAAGATCGGTTGCTTCATTTTGGGTAGGGATAGTCCTTGGCCCTGTAATGGGGGATTTAGACAACCACTTGAATCGTGGCCCACACAGTGAGTTTTGAGCAGGGCACAGATGGCTGGGCCCTTGCCAGTCAGGGAAGCCCATCTTGCTTGAAGGATCCCTGCATGTCGCATTTCATGAAGTCGGTTTCACAGAATCTGCTGTGGGAGCCTGGCAAGTCCCGCGCCGTTCCAAGGCCGCCAGGATGGTGTAGAAATGTAAGCTCCAAGTTGTTAAGTCCCTGCGTGGTTGGTTCCGGCAAAATCCCGAGTTCCGCAAAGTGTCCCTTTCTGTGCGCGAAACACGCAAAATGGGTCAATGCATGGATTTATGCATGGTGCAGCAAATCAAGAAGTGTAACATGGGGCATAACAGCAGCCGTCTTGGATCGAGTGAAAAGGGCCCGTGCTTTGCATGGTAGCAGTGCTCCAGATCCAGGCCCCCGTAAGACCTAGTAAGCCCACGAGGCGGGGTAGGCGGGAGGCAAGCTTGGTAAGACCCGAAAGGGCAGAGCAAGCAGACCCCACGGGGCGGTGGCCACACCAGCTGTCATCGCCAGTTGCAGCCATAGATGGGGCTCAGCGAGCTGCTGGAACTGGTGTGGGGCATTGACACTAGGGCCCTAGGTAAGCTCAGATCCTTCAGTGCAAAAGGAGGACTGGGCTATGGAGCTTTGTTGCCAAAGGTTATTTGTCCTCTTCAACCTGCTGGTGCAGCGCGTGGATGGCACGTGACTGACGAGGGCATGCTGAGGTGTGAGGTTGCACCGAGGTTCTTTCACGACCCCATCAAGAACATCAGCATGGAAGTTCACATGGATGACCTCCACGGCACTGGGCCCAAGAAAGCAAGGCAAGATGCCCAAATCGTATGTGCAGTCTAAGGTAGATATGAGACAGCCGCTGGACTTCCGGGAGAGTGGAGTGACTCTGCACTCTTGGGACCGGGCAGTGCGGGAGTTGGCCAAGGACATGAAGCAGCCTAAAGCGGGGAGAGAGAGAGAGAGAGAGAGAGAGAGAGAGACACAGAGAGAGACGAGGCTTGCACAAGACGAGGAGGTTTGCAGGTGGCGAACACGGGAGACTTTGGGACATGCATTGAGGACTTGGACATCTACTCGGATACCGACTGGGCCAACTGCAAGAAGACACGGAAAGATCTTCATGATCGGGAACTGCTTGAGGTGCTCAAGTTCTTCGGCATCAAGCTGAACATGTCCGTCTACCTGGACAGCAGCGCGGCCAGTGGGTTCTTCCAGACACAGGGATGCGGGCAAACCCGGCATCTAGCAGTCAAGAGCCTTTGGGCTCGGTCCTGATTGCAGCGCTGACATGAGCATGGCGGAGGGAAAGACATTCCTCAGGTTGCAGCGACATTTTCATCGTTACCCTGCGCGTGATCGGCTTCACCAAAGTGATGATGAAGTTCATCAAGGGCACCAACGAACACAAACAGAGCTGGGCAGCAGAGAGGGTGCCATCTTCCTTGCACCTGGGAACTGACAAAGTGTGCAAGCGCATCAAGAACAACAAAGCGGTGTGCGTGGTTCGAGAATGCTGAGATGGCAGCAACAGCCCTCTTGGATCGAGTGAAAAGGACTCGCAAGGCCAGAGCAGAAGCCCGTGTTTGGGTAGAGCCAGCATGTGGTCTTCTTTGGGTTTGGGTTTGGGGGTGGGGGTTTCACGTGGGCCCTCAGGGAACGTTGAGACGTAGAAGACTGTTCTTTTGGTTGCCAGTTGCCACGGTTGCCATGTTTCTGTCCTGGGAGAAACCTGAAATGGGGAGCACTGGAAACCTCACAGGTCCTAGTAAACTTGTTTCGTCCTAGAACCCACTGACAAGGAAACGCAACCATATTTGGTCCTCCTATTTTGACGCGTATCTAGACCCTAAAAATTAGGCTCACAAAGTCTTCGAGCCCGTTTCACAATAAGGAACCCTGAGTTCTCTCGAGGCAAAATGGCTCCGATATGACCAGTTGTCAACCGAGCAGATCTATTTTCATCGCACTGCCAAACGTAGCTTTTCAACCTGTTGCCTTTTTGTTTTGCCGTCATTTTCCCTTGTAACATTCAACCAGCAAAAAGGGCTAAGTCTGGCCCAGTGAGGAAATGGGTGGTTTGGGAAGCCATTTGTCCACGGGATGTTCTCTTGAGGCAAAACGCGACCACGCTCTGGTGAGCACCATCTTCTATCACGAGACCTTCACCAGGCGTGTACGGCTTGGCGGGAAGCGCTTGCCGGCTGCAAAAGCGAACCGTCCTCTGAATGTTGCGGGGTGGCAAAGGAACAGGTTGTTGGATACATAAAACCAAATTGGGCAATCGTAGCATCAACTTGGGCTTGCCTCAAAATAGGGCGGTTCGGCTTGCCAAAACGAGGGCCCTAGGCCTCATAGGGTTTGGGGGGCCATTTTTTCGGCTTCCTCCATTCAGAGATTTCCTCGGTCAGTTAGCAGGGTTTTCTTGACACCCCCTGTAATCGTCTCAGACAGCGGGTCAAAAGTGTAGAACGAAGGGGGTCCAACTCACTTCTATTTTGGTGGCGAGCGTCTTCTTGGTTTCCTTGAGACGGCCTTTGAAGGGTCCCGAGAAGATACCCCAACAAGGAACGGGCCAAGCATCAAACCAGAAAAGGTCAAAAAAGGTAAGGGTCAGAAAGGCTAATGGTTTGATTGATTGTTTGTTTGAGGAGAAGGCGTTGGTCTTGTTTTTCTCCTTCTAGGGCAACAGCTTCCGATTTTTGTTTTGGCTGGCTGGCTGGCTGGCTGACAAGTGCCTCCCTCACTCTGGCAATCCATTCTCACTGTTGCACTGCCGCCTCTTGAATATCGCATTTTGGGGAAGACATGGTTTGTTTGACCGGCCCCAGGGACCATGATCGAAACCTCGGTGTTGTTTTTTTGTAGAGCCAGCTGGCTTCGTTTAGGGTCCCGATTTTCTAGGGGATGACTCCCTATTCCTTTCAACCATCCTTCTTTGTAAGAACCAGGCGTTTCCCTCGGTGCTTGGATGGTTTTCTGAAAAGAAGGATCCCTGGAAAGAATGGGGAACGTACCCCCAGATATAGGGATTCCCTTTCCAATTGTCCTAGGTTTGTTTCCTTAAGGCTTCAAAACGGGGGCAGTTGTCCACAAAGTTTGCCTGAGAGATTTCGATTTCGTTTCTTGTTCTCCTCGAAGGCCTCAGCGGCTGCAGTGCTTCATCGCGCTCTTGACGGGGCTCCTGGCTGTGAACGCGGCCGGGCGCTTGGCCCCGTTGAAGCTGCGACGTGGCCGCCGGTTTGGAGCGATGGGTGCTATGTTTTGGTGCTTTGGAGGGAGTCACACTGAGGGGATCTTGTATACAACCTCCGAAAACCTGGGCCATTTTGTGGCAGGGATGCTACTGGTGCTTTTGAGGGTTAGAAGCAACCTCCCAAAAGCCTGGGCCGTTTTGAAGTGAGTTTCAGTTTGGTCTGATGCTTAAATAATTACAGAACATATTTGTGCCCTGTCCATTTGTGGGTGTCTATTTTGAGGGTAGCCTTTCTGGGGTGGCTTCAAAAAGGGAGAAATGAAGATGGTGTACAAACATGTATGATGTAGGAATGCCAAGGAACATAAAGGAGTGACAACCAAGGGGCAAACAACATGGATTCTCGTGGCGTCATCCTGTTTCTCTGTTCATACCAAAAATCTGTCCCAAACCCTTACAAGGTGGACCCATCTTTTCCTTTGGCCCCAAAAAGCCGTGTCATGCGCCGAGCTTGAGGCTGTGCACAGTCATCCTGGCAGCATCCAGGAAGCGCAGGCGCTCGGGGCGGGTTTGTCTCATGAGATGCCACACATGGCTTGGCGCGTTGCTGTCGTCGGTTGCCTTTGAAATAACCAAGCAGTGGTGCCATCGGAAAGGGATACGCCCCACTTGGCTGTTGCAAAGCAAGTTGCTCGCAACGCCAACATGTCAATCTTGCGGCCAGAGGGAGCGGGGTCTTCTGTCGCTATAGGTTATATCGTTTAAGCAAAGGTCTATATATATATATATACACGCATGTATTTATACATATATATATATATATACACATACATATAATGCATATATATATATATATGCACAGATAATATATATTATGTATATATGTACACGTGTTTGTATCATCACCTGGCAGATCATCTATGATTTGACAAGGGCGCAGGAATTTCCTGCTGCAGGCCGCTGAGTGGGCTTCAGAGAGCTCCGGGGTCTCCAAAACTGTGTGGGGTGTTGCTCAAAATGGGCAGTGGACCCAGGGGACCACGTGTGTTTTTTTTTTGGGGGGGGGTCTGGGAGTTCAAACTGGGGGTTTCGAGATCTCAGAGTGGTAGTTAAAGGACACAGTAAACCACTATTGTGGGAAGCATCCAGATGAAACGGGCTCTGAACAGATGGGTTTGTTGGTGTGGACTGAGGGCTGAGCCTAGGGATGTCCTTGGTTTCTTGTTTCAGTGGGTTTCAGTGTGGCTTTTCGGTTTTTCGCTTTGACTCGGTTTTTTGAGTGGGACCCCTTCAGGATGATGCAATGGACAAGTCCCTGTTCTTGAACACGTGACAAGCTTTTGCACGAAGTCAACCACCAGCCTATCTAGTTTGGACTGACCCCACACCATCCAAAACTGTGGTAGCTGATCGTTTCTGCATGAGGTTTAGTACCAAACAAACAGCAAGCAGGGACCCTTGGGAACCAGGGAGATGATGTAGTTTGCGGCACGGCTTATATTTGGTTCACTTGAAATGTTTTGGGAATCAACCATACCATGATATACGGGCCAGATTTCAGTAAACTGGCAGCTGCAAGGCTTCTTCCCCACTGCCCCTGGATCAGTGGCTGACCCTTGCTTAGTCAAAAACTGAAATGCTACTTGTCATTTTCGACCTGGGGCCTGATATTGGATGCTGCAAAGGAAACCACTGAGGAATCCGACGATTCTCATTTGAGGTGTGTTAGAGCACCAGTCCCTGACAGCAAGGATTTTTGCGGGACCCCAACCCATACTGAATAAGCGACTGTCTTCATTTCCTCTGGCTTATCGCTTGGGGGGGGGGGATGGGTAGACCTCCTTTGAGTGGGGCTTGCTTTTCAAGGGAATCTAAAAGTAAACCTGCCACTTGTTGAGAGCCCTTTCTGAACCAAAAGTCAACCAGCCATTTTTGTGTCCAACTCTCCGGTTGAACATGCCCTTGAAGCATTGGTTGAAATGACCACCCAACAAAAACACGCACACACACACACACACACATCTAGGTCCCCAGTAGTACCCTATCTGTTGGGTTGCACACACACACATAAACACGTATATTTGTTGGGTTGCGGGCAAGACATTTGGGTCTGACCGACCAGGAGTTTGTGATCACCGGCATGCTCTCCGGGCTGCTGATCTTCCCCATCTTCTGCGGCCTGGTGATGATGCAGCTCGGACCAACGGGCGTTCCAACTTGGAAGACGTCCGTTTGCTTATGAACAAACCAACCTATCGCTACTGGAAATTGTCTGAGTTCCCCCAGGGTTTAAGCAAATGGAAGAAAACCAAGGGTTCCATTTTTATTTCCCCAGGTCGGTTTTGAAGCAAACCTAGCGCTACTGGAAATATTTGTGTTTATGGGAGAGACATCGGTCTTAAAAGGGGTTGCCATGTTTTGCAAGGACATGGGGTGTAGACAAACTTTCCAGTCTGGACTCCCTTTTGGAGGGACATGGGAGACTATTTGTTTGTTCCGTGGAGTCCACCTTTTTCCAAGCTTTTTAAAACATATCGATCCCCAAAAAGGCTCCCTTCTTCTACCACCCATTGCTGGGAACTTGATTTCCATGGTTCCATCACCTTTAATTTGACGCTCATTGGGTGACATACACATAGTATTTTAAGAGGCTTTCGCTTGTTCCGCACTTTGTTCTCGTCGCCTGTGACGCGAGGGAGCCCCCAAATGGGTAAAGAGAGCTCTCCGTATACTTTGGTTGCCTCAGGTGGATTACAATCTTAAGGTCACAATGCTGCTTGCAACACACAGTCAAGAATTACACTCCTGAGCTTTCTGATGCTGTACAATCCTTGCCATAAGCAGGATGTCTAGCTGTTTCTTTTATCCCTTTCTCTTCGGTTGTTTTTGTGTTTAAGTTGAATTCGTCTGAGCTTGGCCTTGCGGCCTCCAGCATTCCATGCCTTCCATATCGATTTGAAACAATAGCACACAATAAACACATGGGTTGTGGACGCTTTTTCTCTCACTGACCCTCTTGCTCCTTAGGTTTCGGCTTTGTGCTGGATGCCTTACGGCCTTCGGCCTTCTCTGCCTTCCGTATCGCTATGTATATGTACCATACAACGAACACGTGGGTTGTGGAAGGGGTACCATATCTGTAGCTGACCCTCTCGCTCCCGGGCCCAAGCCTTGATTCCCAGCCAAAACGGGCGGTGTGAGGTTCAATCTGCGCCCGGCGCAAGTGAAGAAGCGGCTGATCAAGCGGGCCGGGGCCTCAAGTGCAAAGACGGGATCGCGGGGCTACCCAAAATTTGACGCTACCCGTTTAACCCGGCGCCAACTGGTACCCCGAAGCTCAACACGCCCACCTTTCAGAAATCCTGGTTTCGGATTTGATTCCCCTGCACATGCCAACAAACACGTGTCCTTAAAAATAATTAAATTGTTTTTAAAGTGGTGCGAACGGATTTCCTCCATCCACAGGGACATCGGCATTTGGCTGCTTTATGAGGCTTACTCCACGAAGGAGATCGACAAGCTCAGCGAGCAGAGGCAGCGACTGGCCAACCAGTCGCCGGGCGCTCGGCGCAGAGACCGCCGATGCTTTGTAAAATGGAGCACGGAAAATGTTGAATGGGGAAGGTTTTCCCTCTGGATAGGATTCATTATCTTTCCAATTGTCCTAGGTTTGTTTCCTCGTTGCATCTGATGCTACCTGCCCCAGGCCCCAGTTCGAGCTGACGCGTGATGGAGGGCATGCGCATTATGCAAACTGGGCTGTTTTTACGAAAGGCGTCTCTTGGTTTCCCCCGAAGGATGGGTTGGAAACACCGATTTAAAAAGTCCAGGTAAATGATGTCCACCAAAAGTGCATGCCCAATCAAGATTCATTCATGCCCTACCAAAGAAAGGTTGCCATTTTTTTTTGTGTAATATCAGAATACATATGGTTGACAGACACCTCTCCCGGCTCGATTTCGCCACTCAGCAGGCCCCTTTTCAATGTCGTTGGCAGCTACAAATTATGGTGGTGCAAGATGTCGGCCATCCCAACATGCATGTTTGAGACCCTCCATTATTATAAAGTGGGGAGCGCGGGTTTTGGAAAACCACATTGGTGAAAGCAGTGAACCTCTAAATCTGACTCCCAACGAGAACTGGGTCACTTTCCTCAGTTGTTCAGTGGCACCAATTCTTTCCCTTTTTTGGGGTGGCTGCCCCAGTAAAAAATTGGTCTTCCCAAAACAGGGTTCTGAACAACTGAGTTTCACCTCCAAAACCCCCCCTGTATGGTAGAGAAAAGGGGGAATAGGGTCCCAGCCGGGGCTCTCGTTGCATCTGGATTTCGTCTTCGAGACCCCCACCAACCGCCTTTGGCATCAGGACCATGCTGCCGCCCCCAGGCTACATGGCACGGAGCCCCAGCGCAAATCAGAGCAGCGGGTCTAGGTGCCCCAGCAATTGGTGCCCGACCTCTCACCGTTTCTTTTTGGCTGGGAGGCAACCCCCTACCAAAAATAGACAGGAAGAAGAAGTTGATACCAACTTATTCTAAGCTCTCAAATCTGGAGGCCTAGCCTGTCCTAATAACTTGATTAGCAAACCGGGCGCCCCTGTTTTCTCCATGGGTCCCCGCTGGGGGTCCCTGGCCATTAGTCTTGCTGGTTCTTTCGGAATCGTTCGAGGGCCTTTGGGGAATGCAGTGTTTGGGATCCGGCTTGAAGGGCGGTGTCTTCTTTTAGTTTGCACAGGGCTCCTTAAAAGATACAGGCAATGTTCAGGTGTATAATGTAAGGATCCCTGTTTCACCAGCCGTGTTGATTTTGAAATTCCTCATTTTGGATTCTCAGTTTGGTGTGTTTTCCACAGACGAAGCGAGCCAGCAAGAGAGTGAGCGACCCCCGCAGGCGTGATTTCAACAAGAAAAAGAAAAAGGACCGAGGTGTCTTTTGTTGGAATCACCACTCTTGTTATTTACATTGAAATCCCGCCAGCTCCAATGTTTTTTTGGGCATTGCACATTTTGAAATCACGCCTGGGGGATCCAGGTGTTTTGTTTATTGAAGTTTGCGCCCGGGGGGTCCCGGTGTCTTTTTTTAAACAAAAATCAGGCCTCGGGGTCCCGGTGGTTTTTTTTGGTGCCTGCTCCTGAATGCCCCCCCCCCTGTGTGTTTATCGTTTTTTCTGGTCCACAGATTTCAGGTTTCAGGCGTGATCAGGCGCCGGCCCCTCACAGCGCCACGCGCTTCTCGCTGATGCTGGTCAGCACATCGGCTCCACCGCGGGCGCGCAGCAATGTGTTTCGTCACGCGCATGATGAGAGCATCCTATCTGCTGCGCATACCCGTGGCGTCGCACCAGTCAGAAGCGCCCCGTGTTCGATCACCTCGGCGACTTGTTCAGAAAGGCATAGCCAGCCTTGATAATGCGCGCAATTCTTGGCAAAAGAAGCAGACGTCCGAAACCTTACCTGCCGGGGAAGGAGTTTGACTGTGGTGATTTCGCCGTAGCGAAGCGCAAAAAAAGCAAAAGCGAGAACACCGTCTTGAGGGCTTGAGCACACACATGTTGACGAGTTAAGGCATGAGTTTCCGTTTCGCTGAGGCGAAATCATCGTTATCAAAAACGACGGTTCAGACATGACTGCGAAAAGCATGGGGCGGTTCGGGCGCCAACAGCTTGTTTTAGTTGCATTCATGCCAACGTGCCGTTCTTTTTTTTTAACGCCTCTGGCCCTCGTGTTTTGTCTTTTGAAATCACGCCTGGGGTCTCAGTGTTTTCTTTTCTATGTCACGCCTGGGCGCGATGTCAAGAAAACACACACACCGGAGCCCCCAAGGCATGAACTCAACGGGAAGAACACCCCGGCACACAGGCGTGAATGCATTTCCAAAAGCAAACCGGGACCCGCAGGCGTGATTTCAAAATATGTGATTCAAAAAAACACTCCCTCATTCCCTTCTAAGAATCAAGGAGTTTCCCTGAGCGGAGTTAACTTGTGCAAGCTCAGAGGAGTCTTCTTTTAGGAAATGGGCCCCGTTTAGGGTTCCATGTCAATGGGATAGTGATTGTTTCCTGCCCCCAGAAAACCTTCATATTTGGAGATCTGACCAAACCACCTGGAGTCAGCATTAAAAGTCATATTCTTCTGGTTTTGGAAGAGATGATGGACAACTGGCCGTACTGGGCAACTGAAGTAATTCCACAGGTGGTGAAAGAATTTGTCTGGGTAGGCTGTGCTGGTTAAACCACCCGTTTTGAAAGTCCCAGATCCGATTTAGAGACAAACCCACTTGACCGCTATTGGGCTGGATCTTTAGACTAAAACTTCTTGGGAAATCAATCGGTTTTCCATTAAACCCACAAAAAGTTGTTTTTTTTTGCAGAGGGGTCAACAGCAACCAAACCCAAACGCAATCATTTTTCAGCCGCTGGTCAACTCCCGAGGTTTGGCACCAGGCAGGTTTCAGGGTTTCAGGGTTCAGGGTCATTCCGCATGAGTTTCTGGCTACGCCGGGACCGCTGGATTTGTTCCGTCGCAGATGTTTTACTGCGACAGACTGAGGACTTGCTCTTTGGGATTAGGCTGTGCCGTCAGCTTGCGCTTCACTTCTTGCCCAGTCCGCTCGCGCACATAGCAGCCAAGCAGCTGGTCCACGCTGCCTTAGGAGCTCGGTCCTGCGGCTTGCAAGAGGGAAGATCCCAAACACGTTTTTGGGCGATGAAGAAGCTTAAACTGAAGCAGCCGCTGCCAACCTCCGTTGCTGCCAAAGCCCTGGACGCTGTGGGAAGGGCATCTTTACAGTAACTTCAGCCAAACAAGCTTGTCAATTGGGTGTGTCTTGGTTTGGGGGCCCCTAAAATGGTGGGTGTCCTTTCGGTTGTCCCTTGGGCCGACCTGAAAAGGCTTGTCCAAAAACGACACGCCCGCCGGGGTTATTGCTGCGTTTCCATGGAAGTCCACTGGTCTCGCTTGCCGATCGCCAAGGCCAACCCTCCGCCGGTGTCTGGCACGCCGGCCAACACGTTGCTGTCCTTGCGCGGAAGCCTGGGAAGTTCGCTAAAGTTGCGGCGCCGAAGATTTTTGGCGCCCGAATCCGTTCAGCGATTTAACAGTTGAAGGCCCTTCTCCCCAACCCGCAAGCCCAAAGAATTACAGGACTAGAAGTAGGCCAACGCCAATACTCAACCATTTTTAGAACAGTGCTTAGCCTCTGCTCAACGAATGAAGGGTTTTCTAGGAACAAAGCTCAATTCCAAAACACACTAAACGAATTTTCCCGCGGAAACCACCGAACTAGTTCATTTACATTCCGGGTGTAGCGCATCATTTCCTGTTCCTGGAGACGCCCTTCATCACCCCTTGCAAACCAACGAGGTAGAAGCTCTGGGATATATATATATATATACCCTTGGGCCACATTTGGGATTGTGTCAAGCTGGGATTTGTACCTACGAAAAAGATGTCGTTGTGCTTTTGGTTTCCTTTTAAACTGTGCCCCCTGAAAAAGGTCAAATACACACACCCACCCACCCACCCACCCACCCACCCACCCACCCACCCACCCACCCACCTGCCGCATACGCGCGCGCGCGCATTGCGCGCATGCGCTGCGCCGCCGTGCATGCGCGCCACCACCGCCACCCACCACCACCACCACCGCCACCACCGCCACCACCCGCCCGCCACCACCACCACCCACCACCACCACCACCGCACCACCACCACCACCACCACCACCCGCCCACCACCACCACGCCATAGCCGCACCCGCGCACGCATCTTGCGTAACGCACACACGCAGCACACACACACGCGCACACACCGCACATGCACACGCCCACACCACGCCATGCCGCACCACGCCCTGCGCTGCACGCTGCGCTGCGCACACGCGCGCGCTGCCTTTGCGCTGCGACACGTGCTGCGCTTTGCGCTGCGCTGCGCGCACGCTTTGCGCTTTGCGCTTTGCGCACGCCGTCCATACGCCGCGCGCGCGCGCTGCGCTGCGCACTGCAGCACGCGCTGCGCTGCGCTTTGCGCCAGCGCGCGCAGCGCGCGACGCGCGGCATCATGTTGCTGGCATATGGCGTAACGCGTACACATCGCGCGCTGCGGCGCGCGGCCCGCTGCTTTACTGCCGCCGCAACATACCTTGTCGCGCCGCAGCGCTTCTTATGACATGCCCGCTCAAGCGCTTTACACCACACACCGCACGCCACGCGCCTGCACGCGCGCCACATGCCAGCGCGCACGCACCACACCACACACACACCGCATACGCCGCATACGCGCGTACGCGCATACGCCGCGCCAAACGCGCGAGGACGCAAACGCGCGAACGCGTGACGCGAGGGGCAACGCGAGACGCATGCGCCGCGCTGCGCGCGCTGCGCGCGCGGGCGCGCCCGAACTGCTTGTATGCCTTAACGCAGCGCCTGCGCCCCTGCCTTTGCCTTTGCCCCTTTCCCTTTACGCTTTTACCTGGCCTTATGACGCCAGCGCGCGGCCTTGCGCTTCTGTCATATGACGTAACGCTGCCTTTGGCGCCGCCAGCGCCGCCTGCCGCTGCGGCTCCGCATGCACGCACACACACACACGCACACACGCAGCCCCAGGCGCTCCCGCACCCCGCACACACACCACCACATACGTGCGCACATGCGCTGCGCGCGCGCTAACGTTGTATCGAGCATATGCAGCAACGCGCATGCGCCGCGCTGCGCGTGGATGCATGCGCCGCCTGCGCTACGCGCATGCGCCAACGCCTGCGCTTGCCACCGCCGCCGCCGCCCCGCACCACCACCGCCACCACTTGCCCCACCACACCCACCCACCCACCCACCCACCCACCCACCCGCACGCAGCCACACCCACACACACTCTTACACACACTCTTACACACTCTTACACACACACACACTTACACACACCCACACACTTACACACACACACACACACTTACACACACACACACTTACACACACACTTACACGCACGCACTTACACACACACACTTACACACACACACACACACACTTGCACACACACTTGCACACACACTTACACACTTACACACTTACACACTTACACACTTACACACTTACACACTTACACACTTGCACACACACTTACACACTTACACACTTACACACTTACACACTTACACACTTACACACTTACACACTTACACACACAAACACACAAACACACATTTTCGGATATATGTTTTTTTCTATCAGCAGTGGATACCTTTCTTGATTGGTGGGTAGAAGGGATTATTTGGATGCTGGGCATCACAGGCAGCGCGGCTTCGGCAAACCGGATCGTCTGCCGAGCCAATTTGGATCCACGTCTCCCTTTGTTGCTTGTCAGCTTCAAGCTTGGCCCTGCTTCGAGGCACAACTTGAGGTCCTGTGCGGCGGGGTCAGCTTGCATTGACCTGCTTTGCCAAAAATAGGAACTGGGCCCCCTGAAAATCGCCTGAAAATCGGCAATGTTTTTCAGGTGTTCCTTTCTTACACGACGAAGGGTCCTCAGTCAGTGGTCAACAAGTGACACGCCCGGTGGTCAAGTGACCTTTGAGCCACAACCCAACCTAGATGAAGGTTAGTAGGGCAGGGACAGGCCTTTCTACGGGTGGTTGAGGTTTTGCATGTTTTTGATGGGTAGACTCTGGTTTTGATTATTAGTGCAACGCAAAGACATGGGTACCCTAATTGCTTTTGGTGTGTCCAAACGTCGGCGGCCCATTGAAAGTGGGTGTGCTTTCACTGCCATCTGATTGTGGGGTCGATTGGGCCGAGATTTTCAAGTCCCCAAAGGAGGCCAGAAGCTGGTGAGCTTGGTGTCAGATGCTTGAACCATGCACAACAGACCTCAAGTATCTTTTGCCAGATGGGCCATGGACCTCTCAAATATCTCTGTTTGTTTGACCCCTTGTTGGGGTCCCTCACTGAAAATTGGCCTGGCCCCAAAAAGGGCTTTCCTTTGTTTATTTCTTTCTCGTCACTGGGTGCAACTGAGTCCTTGCCCGAGGTCCAACAGCTGCGTTTTTTTTCTCCACCAGCAAAGTTGGCCCTCACGGAAATACGTGTTGCTCCAAGTTCGTTTTTTCCCCATCCGAAGCCCCGGGCCCCAAGCTCGAAAGCCCGAGTCTCGGCAAATCGAGGCCCGCCCCTTTGCCGTTGCCGGTGCTTCCGCCGGGCATGGTGGGCACGCCAGGGACCAAGAAGTTGAGCCCAAGGTGCGGACCTGCGCCTAAAAAGGCCCAGACCTGTCGGGCTTTCCTTTTGTGAATTGGCTTTGGGAGTGGTACAGGATCAAGCTGCGATTTTCCATTTTGTAAGGTGCACCAAGGTTACATACCAACTGCCGATGTTCCACTGAATAGGATGTTTGAGGTGCACAAGGGTTACCACTCATTTTCCGGCATGGTGTGTCAATCGACAATGGACAGTCGCTACTCGACTGGACAATTGCTGAGCCACGTACCAATTGCTGGAGCTCCTCTTCTAGGTCCCCCAGTAGTGCCCTTTTATTGTTTCTTTTCTGGGGGAGGGTTCCCCTACTAAAAGAGACAGAACAAATGGTACCAACTTATTCTAACCTCTCAAATCTGGAGGACCTAGGCTATGAATGTGAATGGGGAACCCGCTCCCAAATGGTTGGTGGACATAAATCCCCACCTAAATGATGTCCACCAGAGGCCCCTCATTTCCATTCATACCCAGATGGGTATGGGTCAAAATTAAACCACCAGGATATGGACCGCAGGTTTTAGTCCTTTCCATTTACCAGGGTTCCATTTGGGGATTACCCTATTTTTGACCCACAGCCATATTGGGGGAGCACTTGGTGTGCAGAAATTTCGACTTCAAAAACTCGACCAGCAAACCGACTGGATGTTGGGACTTTCACTTTTTGCCAGCTAAGTTGGGTTTCTCAATTAAACCACCAAAAGTTTTTGGGGAGCAGAGCAACCGAGTTGGGGTAGGGGGTGGATTTGGGGTGGATGTGGGGTGGGCAGGGGGTGGGTGCGGGGTGGATTGGGGTGGGCTGGGTGGTATCATTGCTGGAGCAGCTCTTGGATTTTTAGTCCTTCTTTCCATTTACCAGGGTTCCATTTGGGGTACCTATTTTTGACCCATGGCCATTTTGGGGGAGCAGCTCTCGGAAGTCGGCCTAAGGCATCAACACCTCCAGCTACCGCCCAGCCTGGGCGCCAACTTGGCGCTGCCCGCGGTGCCTGGGCACCTCGGCGAAAAGAAACGACTCGGCTCGGCTTGAGCGAGCCCGTGAGAAACCAAGCCCATGATCAACCAGGGCTGAAAAGATACATTTGGGTGTGGCTCAAAGTTAAACAGGAGGGGGTTCGCAGGTCTTGGTCCATGTTTCCACTTACCAGGTTTCCATTTTGGGTTCCATTTTGGTATCGGTTTTTTTGAGCCACTGCCATTTTGCCACCATTTGAAACATGTTGCTTTTTCCACCCAAATGAAGTTGGAAACCGCCATTTACAAGGCAATGTTCAGGTGTATAATGTAAGGATCTCTGTCAACCCAACAAAAAAAACGCCGGGGGGGTGTTCATGGGTTCATGAAACCAAAAGTTGGGGAAGTTTCATGGCTCGGCAAAAAGAGAACAAGAACAGGGGGTTCATACTTCATCCGACTTCATCCGACTTCGTGGCTCGAAAAAGAAGAGACCGGGTTCATACTTCATCCGACAGAACGAGTCTTAAACCGAGAGACTCGAATCTCTCTCTCTCTCTCTCGCGAGGATGTCAGGGCGGCTTCCACTACCACCGCCACCGAAATACCCTCCGCCGCCAAAGAATGCCCGGTGCTCAGTGGGTCAAAGTCCAAAAAGCCACCAGGGGTCCTTGGTTCCATTTGCCTTCCCCAGAATTAGCTCCCTTTTTTTATTTATTATTTTTTTGTTTTTTTTTGGGGTTCCCTTTGTTTTCAACTAACCAGGCAAAAAAAATGCTGCTGATTCCAGATAAGTTGCCAGGGTTCCATTTTGGGTACCTGTGTTTGACCCACAGCCAGATCACGGCACTCGGTCGGCTGGCGCGAGAAACATGGGACATCGGCGCGAGAAATCAGGTCCTTTTGCTTCCCCCCAAACTGGGATCCGACATAGTAGAAATAAACATCTTGTGGCGTTTTCTAGTGGCTGGAGTTTTTCCCCTATGAAACCCCGGTACTGGACACCATGAAACCATCCTGCCATTTTCGACGGGGACAATGTCCGGGAGCTGGCTTTGCAGTTCTTTCCGGCAGCAGTTTCCGCCAACATGAGATTCGCACTCCCCGAATTGTGCTTTTCAAGAAGGTGCCTGAACCTGGCCGGTTGTCCCTTGAAGCTACCTGGAATCTGCAGGACCCTTTCAACCATGGTACTATATGCCCTCAATTTTGGGTGACCCAGGATACGCAGCTAGGTCCCCCAGTGCCCTTTCACCCTGTTTTGGGGGAGGGTTCCCCTACTAAAATAGACGTCCAGAAAAACAAAATGGGTACCAACTTATTCTATCCTCTCAAATCTGGAGGACCTTGGCTATATACCCTGAATTTTGGGTGACCCAGGACACGCAGAATACTTTCAGCCCACGCTCCGCTTTTTTTTGTCAAAAAAAGAAGCTAAGGTGACATCCCCAACAGCATGCGGTGCTCTTTTTGGTGCTCGCACCACCCCGCAGCCCTCGCAGAACCTCGCAGAACCTCGCAGAACCTCGTGGAACCCTGGTGGAACCCTGGTAAAACCCTCGTGGAACCTTACCTCAGGGCCGCCCCGGACCGGAGCTTATCTGGGCTGAGACCCCAATGCTTTCAGCTGTTGCGGGAAAAACATATATAACACCAGGCTTAGCTCCTTGCACCGGCCCAGAAGCCCAGGCGAGCAACGCCACCCCGGCAGGCATGCTGCCGCGGCCTGAGCCGACTTTGTTCAGGCTTCGGAGTCTCCATGACCCCGATGGGAATCAATGGGCTACCCCAAAGTTGCTTGGGAAATGCCCATGCCTCGTTTCAACCGGCTGCCACTGTTTGTGCTTTGCCCGGAATGGACGATTGGCCATGGGAAGCCTAGCTCCTCAAATGGAATCAAATGTGAAGAACCCGACCAACACAGAGGGGTCCCCTTTTTGGGACATTACACACTTCTTTTCTGTTCAGGATTGGCGCCCTTATGGGCTGCTTGCCAGGGCACCCAAAAGAAAACACACATTTTCAGGGCCCCCGAAAGTCAAACAGCACCAGGTGGCTTGTACCATCATTCATTGCATCATTGGGTTTCATTCATTCCGACTGTAGGATTTTGTCCATCAGTCTTCCCAAAACCCTTGCCATGGTTGTCCAAATTTCCTCTGACTCGAGTATATGGCTACAACAAGAACGGGTTGCAAAACCAGAATATGGATCCCAGAAATGGGCGAAGTCTCCATGCTTTTGCCTTTGAAACAACCACCCCCCCCCCCTTGACACCACACTTCCATTTGCTTAAGACCCCTGGAAAAAGAAACAAACAATATGTCCAGTGGTGAAATCGATTCCCTTTAAAAACAAGAGGGGATTGCTTCGAGTCGGCCGCCTTGCAACCTGCTTGAGCGCTTTTGGGGCTTCGGAGTACATGGGTGTGGGTCAAAATTAAATCACCAGGGCACCGCAGGTTGTAGTACAAGTTTCCATTTACCAGGGTTCCAATTTGGGTACATATGTTTGACCCACAGCCACATGACCCTGGGTTTCTCTTCGGGCAACCTTGGACAAGCCACAAGAACTGGCTTGCTCTTCGGGAATATGGGAATGAGCCTCCCAACCATTGTCTACCCCGCAAGAGTGGTTGGTGGAAGGCCATTCTCAAACTCTCTTCAAGAGCTTTTATCATTGTATGTGTTCAACTCCATTTTTTTGTTTGACATGTGTTTTCTTTAATTAAGCAACTAGCACTCATATAGGGCAAACGTAAAAACTCAATGTACACCATGTATAGCAGGACAATCATTACATGCCCATCCATCTCATTTTTCAAATGTGAGGGGCCCGTTTGCCCCCCGTTTGAAGGGAAGCTGGGAAGGGAAGTTCCGTCCAATTGGGTCCAAATCCCAAGTTGGGTTGGGCCTGTTTTGGGGGATACCCTTTTTAAGTTGGTTTGAAAGGGGCGCCAAAAGGAAAAATAGTTTGACCCACCACAGATTGGGACGCCAACGGATGCCAGTTTTGGGGTTCCCCCCCAAAAAAAAACAAGCAAGGCGCTTGGTTGGAAAGGGCCTCCAAA